GGTAAAAATAATAACTCCCCGCGTTGGAAAGAAGAAATCCAATTGGGGGCACGGGGGGGGGGGGGGGGGGGCGAAGGTAATGCCCTACAGTATCCCTGCTCACCCCGTACACAACAACAGTGCACATCAGACGTGGTCGCTACAGGAAAGGAAGAAGACAGGAGAGGCCTGTGACAGATGCACCGCCTTGTGCCTGTCGTTCTGGATATTTATACTTTTCACTTCTCACACAACATCAGACCCCAACCTTAACTATTACACCAGTGCGTGCATTGCTCTGACTGCTATGCTGTAGAGAGGTCCGCCGATCAATCATCCAGGCACGCACCTCCAGCCCGAAGGAGGGAGAGAGCACGCCAAGCCATGCTACCAAAATGTTACCAAACCTGAACCCCACACCATGGGAAACGTACGCGGGTGTCATCATGTTTCATGTGCTCGTCGATTCTCTAAACCATTTGGTATGTTGTTGAGCGAGAGCATCAGGCAGGGTCACGGGGTTCACATGGGAGGAAGTTCAAGCACAGCAAGAGTTGGCTTGTTGTTCTCCTCTACTGCTGTACTCTGCACCAGTACCACTCTCGTGCGGTGCTTGACGCCGCTGTTGTGGGGGAAGGTATCCATATCCAGGGTTCACATGAGGCATTATAACTATTTCCTCGGCCGGCCACCAAGTCGAATCTTTTTCAACACATCTGTATGTAGTTTCCTACGTTTGCTAGGCAAAAAAAAACATGAAGTGAGAAACTCACATGGCTGCGAGCTCACGAAACCTCCCCTGTGAGCGAGGTATGCATACAAGAGGGCTAGTATTGCATCATCTTCCGAGACATGAATCGAAGGCGTCCACGGAGAAGTGCTATGTTCACAACGCCCAAAGAGAGGCGGGATGGAGCAAAAGGGGTGTGACGTGACATGACATGGCAGCTGGCGGAGGTAAGAACGGAATAGCAGCACTAGCAGTACCGCCGTGCAACAGCAATATGCAAACAATACAAGGTACGTGATATTCTCGGCAAGCAGCGAAGGGCTTTCTTTCCAACTACCAAAAAATAACGGCGTGAGATGACGACGGACAAGTCAGAAAGTAATCGGCAGCGGAAGGTGGGTGCCTCTTTGCTCTTGCTATTGATTGTTTGTTGCGAGCTTGCTCATCACCATCCTATCCGCGCACCAACACGCGAAACACAACAGTGCCAGAAGTACGCCGAATATTCCGAGTGGCAGGACTTCACCTCCGCGCACCCCTAGCGAACGCAAACCCAAAATAACTCCGTCCGAGTACCGGCCAGGAGACCCTCAAGAGCATCCCTTCCAATACTTGAGTACAAGTAGTTCAACAAATATGCAATGCCGAGATCCGCAGATTTCATCGAACAGCAGCACTGCCCTGATAGTACGCAGCAAGGAGCGGAAAACGCTGGATCCCACCAACCAACCCGAGAGGGGCGGGGGCGGGGGAAACGAAAACAATCAGTGAAAACAATACACCGGGATACGCATACGCAGGCACAGACGCACCGGAGCAAACACGAAATGTGTATGCACACTATTATAGACAGGCGTAGCAACACCACCGATTGCGTGTAAAGTGTTGTAACCAGCACCTTTTGCCGCCATCTTGGACCATCTTGGACCAATAGCTGTAATAAGTACTTTGCGTAGATGATTATGCTGCTGGGGTAACCTTTGCGATTCGTACTTGCACATAATTCCGGTCGCCCCGGTGGTCTAGTTGGTATGCTCGAAACCTTGTAGAGGTCAGGTCAGCGGTTCGGATTCCGGCGTAAGCGAGCTTTCCTTTTTTCTCTCGCTTCCGCTTCTGGCCATGTGGATAGCGCTAGTTCGTGTGTACACAGAGAGGAAAGAGAGTGCTGAACTCTTCTCGCATTAAAAATCGAAGGCAAACTACTGCAGGAGGGGAGGGTAGAGAGGGGCTCTTCTGTGTGACCACGGGTGGGAGTAAACGGCACCAGTGCTGTGAGCGCTGATTTGAAGTGAAGACAAAAAAAAAAAAATTACTTCCGTTTTGTGTGAGTACGCTGTTTCGGGAGTAAACGGCACCAGTGCTGTGAGCGCTGATATGAAGTGAAGACCAAGAAAAAAAAATTACTTCCGTTTTGTGTGAGTACGCTGTTTCGGACAGCTCGTCACGTTGTTATAGAATGCGAAGCCTTGTTTCCGTTGTGCATATACTACCACCGTCGAGGTCGGGAAAGTAGCACACAAGAATGACGACAGGAGGACAGGAGAAGGTCTCAATCTCTCAATGTCTGGGTCGAGGACGGAGGTCAGAACGGTTTGGAACATGCATGAACACGTACTTTACTCTTGCGGAGCGTACACCGTACACCAACATTAACATCGATCGGCTGATGAAATGTCTGCATCTCCGGCAAAAAACGCACAGAATTGCGAGTTGGATGGTTCGGATGCGAAGGGTAGAGGGGGCGGAGAAGGAGGCGGCTGTTCATTGGTCTACGTAGTCGATAGTCGATAGCAGTTCGCGTACGGCAGGCAGTCGGGCGATGAAGCTATGTATGAAGAATGCTTGAGTGTTCTGTGTGCGGACGGTGCCAGTGCGGAGAGACTTCCGCCTGTGCAACACACGCGCTGTGCTTTGATTCTGCTGCGCGAAACCCAATCCCCATTGAACGCGAGCTATAGCCTGCCGAAAAGTGCGAAGGGCGAAGGCAAGCCGATCAGCTCAGCATCTCGAGTGGGGTGGTGGATCGGCAGTGTAGTATAGTGGGAGTTCTGGTCACACGCACACATCGGCCAACACAGAATACATTGTACCGGTCGGTTCGCCTCAGGAAGATGGAGAGGATGTTTTGCGGAACACGTTTTCCACCTGGTGCGTCTCGGACGCCCAGCATTGATTGTCTGGTTTCGCGTGTGCACATTATATACAGGGTGGGCCTCGTGTTCCCCCCCTGCTGATGGGTGCTAAGTGTCTCACTTTGGAACCACACCATATGGATGGATAAGGCTGCACTTGGCCGAAATTTTAGACTACAAGCAGGTGGTGTAATCCTTCCAAGCTGCTGTTGCGCCAGCCAGCATTTACCTCATGCATACGACTGCTGTTGTGCCCACAAAAGGTTGAGGTTCTGGGTGAACCGAGAAGCTCGCCAAGCATCCACGGCAGTTGTCACTGTCGTACGCGAACTAATGCTTCCAGTGCATGCTGCCCGTCTTGAGCACACACAAGCGTGGCGATAAATACTTCAGGAAGCTGTTCATCAGTGGGCTGCGATGCTATGAGGTACATACTCACTCCAAGTATGCGGGAGAAACGTTACACACGTACGTGAAGCCCTCCTTCGAAACACCAAAGACACAAGGCACAGGACACACCTCGATGGGTCCTCATGGTCGGAGCTTCCTCCGTTGTCTGGACCCACGCTCGCCATCCTTCGCTCCCCAGCGTCTGTCCACCACCTCACAGGAGATGGGGCTAGAAGCAATGATCAAAATCAGTGATGGCAATGGGTTGGCGTGCCAGGAAACAAGAAACAAGGACTGGGAGGTTCCGTAGATTACGATTCCATTCAGGTTTTAAAGGGGATGGGTGCCGCGAAACGCCTCCAGAACCATTCTCTCAGAATATTGTAAGGACCCATCGGCAATCTGCTCACCGTAATTCCGCCGCTTCGGGACCCACCGGAACCGCTGCAGCAGTGGCACCACCACCCACACCTCCCGCCGGTGCTCTCCGTCCTGCTGCCAACCACACACCAACGTGCTCACATGAGTACTGACCATCTCTGAATCTTTGCGCATGTTCGAGGCCACCGTTGGTGTCTTCCAGGACTCGTTCTTCGCGCGCGTGCTCGCTGCTCACCTCAACGCTGAGGCGTGTGCCCTCTCGCACTTTTTTCTCCTGCCAAGCTGCCATTGGGATGCTTGGCTTCCGCGTGCTCGGCTTAGCGCTCCTCGCTTACACTGCCTTTTGGGTAGCCGCCTACCGAGGGCTGTGGTATGACGGCCATGTATTTGCTAGGAAGAGCTCAGCGTTTGAGTTTAACCAAGGCGACTTCTACGTGTCAGGTGTGTTACTTTGTAATTTTTTTTGCCCATCCGGGTAACATGTAATGGCGGTGTAATTGCGATTTTTTTTCAAAATTTCACCACTTCCCCCTGTTTACACGGATGTAGTTTTGCCTTCGATCTCAGTCCCAACGTCAAGTTGTGTAAGGTATAAGGCTCAAAAGCAGCAAAGCAAGCGTTCACTCTAGAGAAATATGGCCGTCACCTCCTGCTTGTAGTCCTACTTGTATAATGTACTCATAAGAAGGTGGAAATAGGGCACACGTCGTGTACAGCAGTAAATAGTGTACGTCAGTAGTCTACACGATACACGGGCGCGCTTGTGTTGGGCATCCTCCATTTCACCTGTTCTTTCCGGTATGGTGCTTGACATCATTGAAAACGTTGAGGAGTAGAAGGCGAGCAGGGAGGGGAGAGGTGCGGAGAGATTCACGTCTGTGAATTTATAGGCTCTTTTACATTTTGCGGTACAATGACGTCGCGGCGGAGGTACTTCACGACAGCCTGCTTATGTAGGCGATGCGCCGCTCATTGCTGACGGCATATTCCGTACGTTCGACGAACGCTCACTGCTGTAGTTTGTGTGGATCCAGTAGCAGAACTTCACCCACTCTTGTCCAACACGCCCTCTCGATTCTCGCTGTAGGTGGCAAGGCGAGAATTCTGGTGTTCTTCGTGGCGCCGATTCTCTTAGCAGCCGTCTGCGGTGCATGTTGGGAGGCTGCTCTTATAGTGAAACAGTTCCGGAGGCTTCGACACACGGTGCCCTTGGACACCACTCGGGCAGGCAACAGTAGCAGCAGCAGCGTCGTTGGAGGCACCGGAAAAGAAACCGCTGGCAAGCAGCCGAAATCGCGTCGACTATGGACAATTCTGCACTACAATATTCGTCTGCTCGGGGAGGGTTCTCCGTGAGTTGCGTTGGAAAAGAATATGATGCTTCGTACCTGTGTGGTGAACGATTTACCAGCCTTTCGCTGCGGTTCGCGTGCGGTATGTGCCATTGCTATTCATTATGACGTGTTTTGTGCTTCGGTATATGTTTCGCTCTCGGCAGTGCATCGTTTCTCACGCTTCCTTCTCAGGGGCACATAGGGGCTGTACATCACAGCGCCCGAGCGAGGGCTGCTAGGCATCCGTGGCGCGTGCTATCAATGACTGAAGTCACGGGGACTGACTCTATACCCCGGGGACGCGTTCTGTGCGACAACGGCCTTCACAGGATTTACAAAACATTTACGTTCATCCGCACAAACTCGGGCACTTTTGACTCCTGCGCAAGACACACACCTGCCCACACACCATGAACAACGCGGTTCAAAACGTAAGAGAGCGATCAAGGGCAGCGGGTTACGGCAGTAGGATCTGCGGCAAATACGCCGCTTGCCTAATATTTAACACACACACGCCCACGCCCACGCGAAAAGTTAAGGTGAGATTTTCTTTTTTCCCTTCACATGGCGTAATGCGAGACAAACTCCTAACTACAGTTTGTAATCTAAACCAGCACTAACAGCCGTTGAGATCCGACTATATGTAATCCGTGATGGCATTGGCCACGTCCTCTTGCGTCGCCCCCGGGAGGTAAGCGAACCCCCCCCCCCCGAAAGGAAACCGTGTGGAGTTTGTATTTTGAGATGAAACGTGGCGAGGAGACATGGCAATGGCAAAAAAATCAAATTTCGCCTGGACAGCATATTTGGTCTTGTTGCAAGCTGTGTTGTTGCGCCTACAGCGCTGGTGTGAACGATGAACGACAGCATGGTTGTTGTCACCGAGAGGAGGCAATGCTCACGGTTGCCTGCCCGACTGTGACCCGTGTGTTTTAATGCCAAGCACACGCGCACGTGTGCCACGCACGAAAAAGCGGGCTTTTCTTCGATCATGTATCATGACATCATGACAACAGGCGTTCTCCCACAGGGGCTCAGCTCCCGTGTTGCGAATGCTCATCAGTAAATAGCACGTCTGTCGAAACAACGGCGGCCATGGCACCATAGTGGTACTGACCCTGTATTTTTTTGTCAAACGGGTACCTGTGTGCGTATCGCCTGCGTGTGTTTATTTGAGCAGATGGATGACTGTCGGAGAGGTTCTTGCGCTCCTGGGATACGTTGTTTTGATGATCACCATGGTCTGGCAAGGGGTGAACTTCAAAGTGCAGGAGTACTCCGAGCAACACACCACGGGGACCGGCAATTCGCTCATCATGTGAGTACTACAAGGTGTTGATCTTTACTTGGTTCCTTACAAATCAAGCCATACGCCGTTGGAAGGCTCACACCGCAGGGCTCTCTAACGTTATCGGAACACTCCGCTCTGCCCACCAAGTGTTGCAGACACTCGCATACTTGGAGCATTATTTATCCTGGACTGCCGCTGAGAGTGTCCCACTTGAAGTGACTACTGGGACTGTTGCTCAACGAATGGGAATCCGTACATGTGCAGCAGCAGTTGTTTTTTCGCGTTGTGAGATTCCTTGTTGGCCGTAGCTCATGAGTCGTCTTGTATGATTGTTTCGAGTTTTGTCTTTTAACAAGAGTTCAAGAGCAGCTTGCCGCAATTGATCAAATTGGGCACATTCAGGGTGCATACCAAAGCTGCACCGCAGCACAATGTTTTGCATTTGCCCCACCTGGCAGCTGCCATGGGTATCCATATGACAAGCCCAACCCCATATATTTCTCTTTGTTTGTCGAAGAAGGTCTTCACACATGGTCTCACCCGCGTCCCCACATTGTGAATCCAGTATTGAGCACGACCTTTGATGCGAAGCTCGGTTGCCCTAGATGCTGTTGCCTGGCCCTTGTCCCCGGTTCCGGTGTGGCAAGACGACGAAACTTGGCCCAACAGCATTCGCCGAGGACAACATCACGTTACGTTTGTCTTGTCTGTTTCTCGTTCAGTTTTCTGGGCAGGCGACCCCCTCGCCAAACGATCCGTGCAAGCTCTTCAACGTTTCCCCTCTCTTGTGTATCGATCTCGTTTCCGCAGACTTAAGAACGTCGCCAAGTACACGGGGTTTGCGGCGGCAATCCAGTTCAGCATTGTCCTCATCCCGGTGTCCCGCGACAGCAAGATCTGGTCGACGATCGGAGTGCCTGTCGAGCGTGCCGTTCTCTATCACACAACGCTCGGCCACTTGGCCTTCGTCAGCCTCTTCCTGCATGGGATCCTGTACATGGCCTACTACGTACAGAAACATGGCTGGGCGTACGCCGTGAATTCGTCGTTTCATTACAAGGGAAAAGGGGTTAACGTCCCTGCCGGTGTGTATCTTGCCAACTGTGATGTGTCGTGCGAACCCCGATCCAACATGGGGGGTTGTATGGCCAGCTCTATTGGTGATTTGGTTTAGCTTCGCCGATAGTAGCGGAAGGGTGGATGATGTCCGCGGGACCGGGCACGCTGTCCCTATCTGTTTAGGCAAGTTCAAGCTGCAAGTCAGGACCATAGACGATGCGATCCAAGCAGGGTCGTTTTCCGTTGGCCTCGAACTTTGCCCTCCAGGTCGTTGGAAGAGCTATGAAACTGTCCTGAAAACTCCATGTCTTCTGAGCTCTTGGTTTCTTGTGTTTTTTTTGTGTGAATTGTCTCTTTGTCTCTTGGTGACAGGTTTCATCGCCGGCCTTTGTGCCCTTCCGATGTGGGTCTTGTCGCTGCACTTCTTCAGGCGAGAGTACTACCGGCTCTTCAAGACGAGCCACTTTTTATTCATCGGTGTTTTCGGCGCCGGAATGGTCCACTATGACGGCTTCGTCCACTATCTGTTGGCCGGCTTCGTGCTGTACCTTGTCCACGCGGTCTATCGCCTGGGTAACTGGAACTGGTGAGAGCCTCGCGCTTGGTACCATCGATATCTTGCAAGAACGGATAATAATTGTTTTGGGCGATTGTTCGGCAAGAGTTGTGGCGCCTAGCTATATGTGTCGGCCGATCCCTAGGTCATGCTCTACGAACAGGGCAGTCGTCAATGTCTGGGCTTCTTCGATGGCGTGTAGATAATCCAGGAAGCCACCAGGTGATACAGAATAGTACCCGTTCAGAGGCAGTCAGTCAGTCAATCCGAGGCAGTTGGTATATCCTTCCTTGGGCGTCTGAACTCGTGTCGACTGATTGTAGGGTTTACTGGTGCTTCTGTGTGCTTAGTTGAGTGAAATACGTTGGGAGTTCGACGTTCGGCACTTCCTCATCGCTGCATGTGCACCGTCACCGTACATGGCAGCATTGTAATAAATGCTTCGGAATCAAAGACCTACAGTCCAACCGTTACAGCTCGATAAGTGTCCCGAAACTTGCGGTGCCACCGCCATGTCACGAAACCGAAGTGCTTTTTTCCTGGAGATGTCGTGCAGCGTACCTTTAGGGTTACGGTTACGACTCGAGTTCGATACCTCCCATGCCTGTGCGAAAATTCAATTTTATTGTGTTCGCTGTTGCTCTTTCAGCACACCCCTGTGCTACATTTCCAGCCTGTGCTATATAGCCCGACTTTCCAACTTTAAGCGTACGCCTCCCCCGGTTGCCGCTACGGCCCCTGTACCATGCCGTCATAACAACAGGTGGAGTGTGCTCAGGCAGTGCTTTTGCAAGAGTTCAGCTAGAGGTTGCGGCGATTGCGCTCTCGTGCACCTCGAAGCAGGGGACGGGTACACGCGCCTGGTGCTGCGCAACCCTAGCAACCACAGTCCGGCCAAAGGAGGCACATTCGTGTACATCAGTGTGCCCGCACTCCTGGGCACGATTGAGGCCCACCCCATGTCTGTGGCTCTGCGAGGCGCCCCGCCACATCTCTGGAACGCCTCGTTGGACGACGGAGTCTTCACGCTATGTGAGAGCTCTACGAGCATGTCACCGTTGTACCAATCTTGGTTGATTTCTGATGGGTGATGTGAGAACAGTGGTGTACGAAACACGTGACCAAAGTTCGTGATCTCCCGTGACTCGTTTGTTGCATCGCTCGAACTAGATCGACGAATGAAATAGGAACGTGTGTGGTCGTTGCCCACCGCTGTCATGTAGTCGGTGGTACAGAATACTTGACGCTGTGTGATTGTAAGCGAATCGAGCAATCAAGCTACAAATCGATGTGAACTCTCACCTCTCCTGACATTAAACCGCTAGAACGCGAACAAGCATCACGGGTGCGAGGAAGGCAAAGAGTTTCCGAACGGGATGGGCTATGGTCTATGGATCCACGCATAATCGGATTTCGACGGTTCGGGGACTTACCCCGGAATCCTCTCAGAGCGTCCTCCCCGGGAGGGGCAGTACGATTTGTTTGGGAGAAGCGCACGCCGACGAGACATTCATCTGTCGTACCCATGCCTGATCGCACTGCGCCACGTCTGGGCACTAGCACCTGAAGAAGTGGTGGTCCACAATCCTTTTTTCTGAACCTCGTCTGTCGCTTCCGAAAATTAACAGACATTAAGACCATGGGCTCATGGACGCTAGCCCTGCAAAAGCAGGAAAGTGACAACCTCACCGTTCATGTGGACGGGCTGTATGGCGGTGCACCGTCGCTGGCATCCATGAAACAAGCGGGATTTCCAAAGGTGGTTTTGTTTGCAGGCGGCAGTGGCGTCACATCCTTCACGGCTCTAATCCAGGTGATTGCCGAGTAATACTCTCTTGCAACTGGCTACGGATGACCCGGACGCAATATTACAACTTGCATTTGTGTTCTATAGCCGCCAGTTCATGGCTTGCGTGGGCGGCAAGCGGTATCGTAAATCAGAACGCGATTTGAAACTAAAACAACAGTCCTGTTCGACGGCATGCCGGAATTTTGGTGGTTGTGACAAGCGTGATTGATTCAGCAGCAGGTGGGCCGCGCGCTCAAGAGCGTTGCTCTGTGTTGACTGGTTGATACCCATTAGGTTTTACTCGATTTCGATTTGTGTGCAATACTTGACGTTCTTGCTTCCGTCGAAACGCCTTCACAGGACTGGTGTGAGGCCTACAGCGGCGGCGAGGATGTGCCTGCGGTTCACCTGGTCTGGTCCTGTCGACGCATGTCGGAGATTGAGCTCCTGGGCGAGGCTCTTCCCTCGTTCCTCGCCGCTGCTGCAGCCGGCGCAGAGTCTCTTTTCAAGATGTCCATGTTTTGCAGCGGAAAGGTGGCCGGTGTGGTTGTCGGGACTCCTGTCTTGTATTGTTGGTGCTGTTGGGTCCATGTCAACACGCTTGCAACCCCGTTGGTATGTGGATAGCCACATGGTCCTTCCATACCTGATTCTCAGGTATGTGGCATGAAGTACCTCTCTTGTGCATGTCTCTCTTCAAATGGTGCTGACTGTCACTATTGACGTGGCATTTGGTGGCCATTAAGCGCGGGTTTTGTGCTTTCCTTTGGTACATGACGCATGGACTTGGCGATGAGAAAGCTCTCGCGTCTTCCGCGGTTTACCGGACAGTGTTTGCTCCCGAACGTGGTTGCCTCCTAATATAGGTATTTCCTTCTCTTTACGTGCGCCCTGGAACATGCGTTTGCCTTATCAGCACGTGCCGCGCTACCGCGATATTGTTGTTTTAAGGTATTTCGTAGAAATCAAATCACCGCTCATACATGGCTTCCCCCGGTTCCTCCTGCCTGATTTTTCACTCCACAGACTGGAGGAGACAGCCCGGAGACCGTGTCATGGCCCATCTTCAAGGCGTCTGAACACCTAGGACGCGTGCACGCGACTCCTACGTCGCAGGCAGTAATTGACTCGTTCAATAACGGTGTACGCACCCTGATCGCAGGCGAGTGCCCTTGGCCAACACTTGCGTCATTCCTTCTTGCCATGCGGGTAGGTTACGTCATTATCCAGACTCTGCAGTGCATACCACAAAGACGGCGAAAGGAGTGGATGTTTTCTCCTTCCGGCGGAGCAGTGCGCATACGCTGAGTTGATTCCGTTGAATATTTTGTGAACACGGGTGGACCATCCCTTCATCACCAAGTGTATCACCTCTCGTTGATCGTTCGCCCCACGGAGCACTCGATGTCTTGTAGAAGTGGCTGTCATGTGTATGTCAATCGCTTTTGTCCGCCTTTCGACCCTCCTCTCTGGTTTCGTGGGGTGCGAGCAGACCTTGTGGTCGTTGTTGCTGTCGTTCAACCAAGTCCGTGGGCTCAATTCCGGCTGTCGAGTCGCTATATAGGCTAACAAATACAGCGGCCGCACTCGGCTTTTGTGGCGTGGCGGATCACGGCCGGTGTCCTTGTCGTTGTGGTCATAGTGGCACGGTCTTCTGCTGTGAACACGGAGATTTCGCACCCTTTCAGTAATTTTGTCACGATTTGGATAGCATCACCTGTTCCGTCCCTGCCCTGCACACATGGGTTTTTTGTACCTTGGAAACGTTAGCATCGCATTTTTGGATGCTTTTCGAAGATGTGTTTGTGAAACGTTGGGACAAATGTGTCGTTGCCCCGCGCCACGGCACCCTTCGCCCCTCCCCCTTCTGCCTTCCTGTGGTCGCTAACTCCTGATTCGATTCAATCACGCTGCAGGCGGTGGTGCGTTGGCTGGGTGGTTTTGGGCTGAGAACGTGGCCCAGGGGGCTCTCTTGGAAGGTAGGGTATCCTGTATTCTGGCGAAACGATGAACGATGAGCCTGCTCCATTAGACAATCAATCGACCGAAGAGCGTACGATTGGCGGTATCGGACTTGAGGGGTTGCCGTATGGAAATAATTCTAGTACGGGCGACGAATTAACCGTCGCCGTAGAGACGACCTGTCTGCGGCCGATGATCACTTTTCGTAAGAAGACGAATGCATTAGCTCCACCTAACGACTAGTTCATTACGAGCGTCGAGTGGACTGACCATCATTCCCTAGACGACCAGCCCTTGGCACCGTGGAAGACGAGTGGTTTTCGGTAGACTCTCGCTGTAAAATGGATAAGTTTTGCTTGGATCCCACCGTGAGTGTTGAACATGCGACTGTCCGTTCACTTCCGTGCGTATCTCTCTCACCTCCTTTCCTAACCCTTTTCGTTGTTTTTGTTTTGCCCTATCTTCCGAACGCGGCATTGGTCGCTTGTGATCCAGGTGTTGCAGTTCTAGTCTTGATGACCATTGTCCCTGCCAGCCTGCTGGTTGTGTACGATTGGATTTCAAGCCTCCTCATTGGAGTGTTGATAGCGAAGAAGCCGTTTCGCAAGGTTAGTTCCAAGCGTGTGACGTTCACTCTTTGAACTACCGAACATGTTTGACTTATGAGGTTTGTTCCGTTTTCGGGTATCTTCTTCCTGTCTGATCAGCCTCGGTTTCGACCGTCGCCAGGATCGTAGATGTATGTACAAGTACAAGCCGCCGCGTAAACAAGTTCAAATATGCGTCGAAAGAGACATGAATATGCTTGCAGTAAACGCTGTGTCACAGGTGTTTCACTGCTGCTGTCGACAGGGAGCATTGGTGTGCGTCCTAATCACGCAGCTGCGGTGTTTGTGCTGCCATTAGCGGTGCGGGAACCACCCGCCCCTACGTAGTCTCGTACATCAACAGCACCCCAACATGGTGCGTTCTGGCGGGCGGATGGGGTGATCACTGATCGCTTGCACCACCGTCTTCCCCGTACGCTCACAGCGGTATTCCCAGCTGAGGGAGACGGCTGCGGATCGAGACGAGCCAGATGTAGCAGTCGGTGGCCAAGGCGAGAACATCAATCGTGGTGGGGGCGGTGGTCGTGGCGCACTCAAGACCTTTCCCGTCAGCGCCGGCCGTATGCCAGTCCACGGGGTGCTCCTGTCGGAACAGGAAAATGCCTCACGAGAGGGGATCGACAGGGTCAAGGTGAGCCCAGTAGCCTTAAGCTGTGCTGTTTTGGCGCTTGAAATGCGACGCAGCAGTAGCTGTGTTCGATACCTGACCCTGACCAGTTACCACAGGATACCTTGGACGGAGCGACCCCGCGCAAGAGGGGCTCTGCCAGAGTGCTCGTGCGATTTCACCCCATTCTCAGCCCCCCTAGGGGACTGAGACTCTGTCCCACGAAATTCTCGATGAAGCTAGATCTATGATACGAAGATAGATTTCCCGAATACTCTTTTTTTTTAAGCACCTTTTGATCCACGCAATCTACGCGATCAACCCTTGCCCTCTCTAGTGCCAAGTCCCACACTCTCGCACATCCGCGGGGCTGGTGCACAACAGCCCCATGAAAATCATTCTAGCGTCTATTCGACAACGATGAAGGCAAGAGACCTGTGCTGGGGCCTGATCAGGAAGCCAACACAGAACAATCATCCTCATATCTGGGTGCCGTGCTTGGACAAAACACGAAACACAGCAACAGTTTGGTCGGTTCAACTGTCCCTTGTCGAAGATCTACACCATTGCAGTTGGAAACCTGCTGTGCGATGCGCGAGAGTGTATCTCCCCGAGACCTTTCAAAAGACCGCGTGACGCCTCCCCACCCTGCTGAGTTGCAGGCCGCGAGCGGCAACAGTCGATGCAGCAAAGTATAGTTTGCCATGCGGCCCTCTCTCCATCGCACCAACCACGGGCCTTCGTGGCATCCCGAAACGGACCACTACACTGCTGTACGCATGACGCATGCTCTTGAACTCTCGAAAATTTCGAAATTTCGGGTTTTTGTGCATCACGTCTTGCACCCGTGCGCTTCTCCCACCCGCTCTTTCATCGCCGCGCGTGGTTTACCCTCACCTAACTACGCATGCAACACACAAATACTCTACCTACCCTGCGCGTACGCAACAACAGTACCGCTATGTGTGGCGGCTGGCTATGTGCATGGCGACAACTAGCTGCAACCAAATCATCTCTTCTTCAAAGAGTCGTCGTGTCAGAGATCTGAAGTATTTTTCGGAAATATCCAAGCTGAGAATTTTGGAGACTTTTCACCAGCCCGTCATGCATTGTGTTTTCACCACGGTGCCGCTGCGACCAGAGTCTGTCACACGATCGTCGAGAGAAGCATGTGTGTGAGGAGTGTTGCTATCGAGTTGTTGCCATCTATCGGTATATCGCCTTTTCTTTGGCTACATTGCATCATTATGCCGCGGCGTTTTCGGGTGTCAGGATCATTGCAGTCATATGAGTGAATCCAGAGTCTCTGTCTCCCCACTCTACACCTCTACTTCTTACATTGCTGCTGTTCTACCTGTCCCACCTGTCTTCAACCCTGTCTTCACGTACATGTCTTCGAGCCTCGGCCCGTGTGTCAGACTCGGGTCCGTTAGTTAGAGTGTATACGGGGACAGAGGGCGGGCCGTTGTGTGGTTTTCACAGCAGCGGTGGAAGTGTTACATACATCTATTCAAGGGTTCTTGACTTATTCTCTGGACCCATGCCAGTAGTTGTTAGTTGTTCAGGACATCCGAGAGCTAACATCTCGCATGCATTGTACGCTCGCAAAGCACCTTCTTTCCGTTGCCGAGGCGCGCTCTTTCTGGAATGTTGAAAAAAGGCTTGGGGCCGGGCAGCTATGCTACCATGCAGCTCGTATGATTTTCACTGGAGAGTGCTGACTGCGTAAGTGTAGTCATGAGCACGATGCATGGTTGATCTTGGGCACTATCAACCGGCCCACTGTTGGAGACAAACGGTGACCTCGGCAGACCCATCGCACCGAAACGGACCCAAAGAACCCATATGCATATGAACACCCGAGCACTCTGTTTCAAGTAGAAAAATGGTTTTTCGTGTCGGCCGGTTTGAACCGTGTGGAAACACTACCCCCCCCCCCCATCTTTCCTTGCCGCAGTTGCTGGTAGTGAAACTATATGCTGTTATTTTCACCACACGATTCAGTACGGTGGTTCGTCTACCCTAAACGAGGATGTGCTGCTGTACGTCAGATTTCATCGTTGTGCGTAACGCACCTGAGACGAGCTAGCAGGTAGTACTTTCTATCAACCGTCAATGAATACTGAGCTTTCTGCCGGAACGGGCTGTCTTTTCATGTCGATCTGGTGAGGATACCTCAGACAAAGGGGCACACTGCTGTTAGGGTTTGCAAGGAGATATCTAGTCCGTATGCCCATCTCCACCGTCATACAATCCTACCCCGGACGTTTTGTAGATGGTAGATGAAGGACGTCATCCAACATTTGGGGTCCCATTCGTTCGGGCATGACTATGTTACCTTAGTCTGGACGTAGATAGCAAGCGCGTTGTTACCCCATCGCAGTGCCGCAGGTGGGTTCCCGCTGTATGAAAACTTGGACCATATTTTGTCTAGCTTAATGGTGGTAGGGACACACGCAGTTTTGTCGTACTGCGGTAAGGTTGCGACTGCTCTGTTGCTGTGTCTCTTAGACTCCATGGCGTCATGCATTTTACGTTTCTGAAGGGAACAAGAAATCGACACACGCCGAAAAACGTGTTCGTTTTTAATTTTGTTAACGAGCTGCTTGTCGGCTCTGTTTCGCTCGTCTTTCGTAACGCATGAAGATCAGTTGTCAAAACGGGCAGCGTTTACGTTTTCGTTTTCGTTTTCGTTTTTTTTTTTCTCACTCATTGTGTCGCTGATATTGTCTCGTCGACATCTATAGGTACTTGTAAGCGGCCCGGGCGGCATGGTGGACGCCGTCATGACGGAAGCGCGCAGAATCAGCTGGAAGGTGTTCGATGTGGAAACCGCCTCGCGCGAGTTGTAGGTGCTCAAATTCACTCCCGACAACAGCTATGTCCCGATTTCCTGGGATGACTGTTGCGTGCCGATGATAGGCCGTGCCAGCCGTGTGTATTCCAACGTGGTGGTATCCCGCTATCGTTTGCAGAACTCTTGGCGCTTTGGCCAAGAATTGTGAACTTATTGATGGTGATCCCAGTGGCTTTTGGTATGCCCTCTACTCCGCAGACCAGATACAACACTCGAAACAGAATGTTGGTACAACACTCGAAACATTCGTTGCTGTAGGACAGGGCTTATCCCGAGGGTTGATGTGTGTCTGTGTGTCGATGGAGTTTGACAGGTCGCTCGGAAGTATGTGATGAAGGAGCCTACATTTGGCCTGGTGAGGTGTTATCGTCGATGGTGATCAATGCGTGAAACACAAGTACCTGCAGCCGAACCCGAACTTCTTGAAAGGAGGCTTGGGCGCCAAGGTCCTCGCCGAAGTCCTAGGAGGAAACGGGAATCGCGACTACATCTGTTCTTCAGCAGCCTATGCTGATTGAGTCAGTTGGATGCGCGGCACAGCTACTTCACGCTTCGCCATGTTCTGATACGAGAACATTCCCGACGGCATAGTCTAGGGATTGCTGTTCTTCGGAGGTGTTGGGGAGGGTGTTATTTCCGTACAAATGGGGCCGGTTGAGTTCTTCAGGAAACAAACTATTGAGCTCTGTGCCTTTTCGCGCTATGATGTTGAGAGGTCGGGTTATGATTAGGATTTAACGTTGACCAAGAAAATAACGCCATGCGCAAAATATCCAGGAGTTTTCGATGAACGAGGCGGAATATTGTGTTTCACGTAGAGTGGGCCTGCCGACGTACAAAATGCTTTGAGACCACATTCTTTGTGTTCCTACGGCTTTCAGTTGTCACGCAAGCCCTCTTTCGTCCCATAGTGGCCGGTGCTTGCCGCGACATGTGGCCCAAAACGATGTCGCAGCACCACCTCGGCGGTGTGAGAGTTGTTTTCGTCCTATTTTTTACGGCGACAGTCCCCCCATTTTTCGTGGTGAGACGTGTACTGCACTTTTCAGTGCATGTAGAGTACTCCGCTCTTCAGTGTTCTTTATAACAACTACACCATCCAGGGTCACACAGGAGGGGGTAAACACCATTTTGTTTTTTTCGTGCCCCACCTTAATGTGAAGACAACAACAACAACAACAATATTCCTCCTGCGGTGCGCGCAGAGTTATTTTTTTTCGCTAGAAGGGCCCAGCCGTCCGTTTCCCTTGTCAACGTCAACGGTGCTATAAATAACGTCGAAGGTTTTGGTATTCGCCAGAGCCGTTTCAGCTATTTTTCGCTTTCACCCGCAAATTTTGTAATTTTTTCACCCCTCTGAGATTCGAACTCGCGACCTGTGCGACTAGCGGTTTCGAAGATACAACTAGACAACCGGGGCGACCGGTACGGTAACAGAAATAGTTACGACACCGCGCGGAAGAGATCTGAATCTCGACTTCACAGAGATACTCCGCTTCTTCCGTCCCCTCCTTTCCGGACATGTGGCGTGTAAAGCGTTGAACGTGCAACGGAACCATCCTATATCCAAATCGTAACCCTCTTTTTCGTGGGCGGGTGTGATCGTGTGCTGATGTGATCAGTCAAGGCCGACACGACAACACCCCGATTGAAGCGAGGGTTTGAGGGACGCCCTGGTGCAAGATGGGGATGAGTTGCGCGACAATCGAATTTGCCGCGGTGTGCCTGCCGCGTTAGGATGAGTAGAACGTTGGTTTTTTCTTTTTCGCCGAAAATAATCGGACATTTTATCGTTTTGCCGCCTCTCTGCCTCGGAGTCGTCAACGCATGCGTATAAATTATTAGTGTATCAATTTTTTAATTAATTACAAGGGCTCCGGACGCGGGGGGCTACCGGGCGTCGCGCGCGAGCACTCGACGCTAAACGTGTCGACTTGAGAGTAGGCGCGATCCCGCCGCTTCGCTCTCAGGCGCCGAACGGAGACCTGTGGCGCGCCCTCAGGCTTGAGCTAATTTTCCTTACCTCTATCTTGGAGTTTTCTGAACGCTATGTGGAGCGTCCGTGGCACCGCGCAGAGATGGTTGCTGCCGCCCCTTTTTTTCTCGGAGAGTAACAAAGTCAGGGCGTCAACGGATTCGAACCCACCTCGGCAAGGGACAAGTACCACGCGCTAGCTCTTCACCAGTGGATGCTTGTGTTGCTTCCACACACGGACGGGCATAATCTTGCGTTTCTAAATATGCCGCAAAAAACAGCCCATCAGCTGTTTTTTTTGTTTTCACGGTGACGATTTTTTTTATTCCCCGCCCGCCTTGGCCCGCCGCTCAACGAATCTATGCATATGGTGTCACAGAATCACAGGCCAGAGAGAGACAGAGAGATAGAGTCAGACTGAGACCGACAAGCAGACACAGACAGACACAGAGCGAGAGCGGGAGTAAAAGCAGGGTGCAAAACCAGACCGACTGCGAGGCTGTGCATCAGCCCCCCTGTCGTGTTTGCTGGGGCTGATGTGGCCTCTTCGTTTTTGTTTTTCCGTCCCTCTACTTTCTTTAGGTTTTCTGGCCTGCACGCAGGCAAACTTCAGTCAAATTCCACGTGTGTGCCATCACTTCCAACCATCGTATCAGAAAACCAGAGCCAAATTTAATTTGCTTAGATGCAAGAAGAGAAATAATTATGATTTCCGGGCAAGTGCACGCAACAATCGAAAATCTAAATCTAATTTCGATTTCGATTTTCGATGAAACTTTTTATTGACAAGGTCCACCCTGAGCAAACAAGGCTACCGTGCACCTGGCTGCTGCATGTGACACGATAGCGCTACCAGGTAGTGGGCGTGGCCATAATGTTTGCTGCAGTGCCTATGTGAGAGCTTCCGGGGGTTCAGAGCGGCGAGGGTGCTTTTTCGATACTCTCCTCCGCCTCCTCGCTGAAGCCTGTCCGGTCGGGCTCTATTTCATGGTTGTGGACTACTGTTAATCACATTTTTGTTGTAGTATTTATGCCTTGTTTATTGTGTTTTTCCACCCGCCCACCCACCAATAATTTTTTTTTGTTCGATATTTTTCTTGCCATGTATCGTATATGGCTGTGTGTGAGCTCGAGGGACAGGGTCGACGGCAGCACACTACTGTGCGTTTGAAGCTATGCGAGGGGTTAACGCCTTCCTCGCTCTCGTAGCGAAGTGCATCTCCCACGGCAATCAATCATGATTCAATGATAACCATGATGCTCCTCCTGTGTCTACAAATGGAAGCGCCCGGGGGTATTTCGATCTTCTTGCCGAAAGAGCGGGACTAAGTACCGGTCCGCGTTCTGGTGGTCTCCCTCATTCGGGTGTGATCGTGCGTACTACTGCAGACAGATCATCAGCGAGCATGATTGGCGAGATTGTTGACAGCGTGGAGTAGCAATATTTTTGTCAGCGTGGAGTCCCTCGTCACAAACAGTGCGCACCCAGATGGTCGAAGACTTTTACTTCCGGGTGCGCGTCGGGTAGTCTCAACCTTCTTCGCGCGAAAAACAAGTCATGGTGTCCGACAACAATAAATAGTCAATCTACTAGCAGCGGTGCACGCTCCGTAGCGAAACCGAGAGCCCCGGGCAGCATGTGTATTTCACATCTATAAACAGACAATTGTTGAGTATGTACCAACGTACACCGCGGACGCCGGACATTGCCGCACCCAGACACTTGCCAGGCACGCCCGTTGCAAAACACTGTGGCACATAAAGACACCTTCGATACACTCGCTGCGACAAACTTACCCGCCCCAGAAGCTCTCGTATTTCTGCTAGGACTTCACGCTTCCCGTTCGTTGCGATCGTTTACCCGCTGCACCCAGGAGGCCAAAGGCTTCCACGAGCTATTCAAGTTGCCGGGGTTACGATACGCGTGATTTGTAGTGTTTTTCGACGCACCGAACATCAACTACGTGTAAACGGTAAGCACCGCCGTCGCACTTATCTATCCCGCCGCTTCGGACGAAACGAGGGACTTATACCAGATGGTATTCGATCGTTTGCCCCCGCCCTTGTTCGCGGTAGGGCGTCATACCATCCTGCTTACTCAAACACCTCGAACAGCACCCCTCGTAGGGTATGATAACATCTGTTTTTCTTCACCTAGTCTTTTTTCCATGGGCACAACCACAATTAAGGGCTCCGGCGCATGGAAATATGCACCACAATACAAGGCACCGTCATGTCATTGGCCAACCAGTAGACAGAGAAGGAGCCGAGAACTATAACCAATATGGCGGCGCGTCGGCCGTGTTTGACGGCCGTTTCAAGCCATCTTCGAGAACCGCAAGCCCAAATTATTACCACCGCAACACGACGTTGCACTCTATGGTACTAACCGAACCACTTCGATTCGAAACACCGTTAACCCCCGTGGGCACCGGAGATGCCTGTTACTGTACAATGCTCCTGTACATCACTTCGATCCTCGTGCATCCTCACATCCTCAGTGTACAGTCTTGTTTCTGGACTGGCCCGCCACATTGCGACACCCCCTGACACGCCGAAGATCATTCTTCGGCATTCCCCGAGCTACCGGGCCCTTTCGCTCTACTTGAGAACAATTACGGAGAAATCGAGGAAAACGGCGACAGGGTTCAATGTTATCTGCAAGTTAAAGTGTACGAAGTTTTCATCGGTGACACGGTTGGACGGAATTTACGGTGTTGGGGACTGTCCTGGAGCTCATTCATTGACGAACGCCCAAAGGCGAAGGATGTTCGTTTCGTGGGGGAGGGGGGGGGGGGGGAGAATCAGAGACGCTTTCAGAAGTCCAGAAGGAGCGCCACTTGCGTATGAAGGGCCATCGCTGTGTTGTCCTCTCCTACGGCCCTCCCCAGCATCCCCCCTCTGTGTTCTGCATTATGCAGAGTCTCATCTTCGCCGGTGAACAATGTTCACCCGCCCTCTTGCCGCCGAAGATCCGAAGCTACCGCTGAAAATTCGGTCTGTTCCGGACTATCAGTGTTGTTGCCGTTGCTATGGATTTTCAAATCCCTGCGTTCGGTGGCGCTCTCGGATGCTGGTGGAAGGGTAGTGTGCGCGTCCACAATGGATGAGAGGTTCAGCGGAACATGAAAAACTCAACTCAAAAGAATGTCTTGGCCTGACAAAAAGCGGGTGCCAGCCTTTTCAGTGCCGCAGTCCCACTTTCCGAGCCACCCTTGTTGTTGTGGGTTCCCGAACCGAACCGCCAAATCGAAACACAGATATACAGTAGTGCGAACTCTCGGCACGTTTCGATTGACATGGTTTAAGTGCGTCGCCACGCTATCAAGACTTGAAATAAATCGATTGGCGAAGCAAAGCATTGTCCGTAAGAGACTGGGTACATTGTTCGACATACAAACGCACAGCAGTGTATCGTGTCAACGACACCCGCCAACACCCCTTCTCGCTAACCTCACCCAAGCAGACCTAGCCTGTAAGGCTTCCCTTAGCTGGGGTGTGCGTGGTTGATCGGCGCGAGATTTGCCCGAAAGGCTTTCAAGCACGCTTGATTTCTGATGACCAGAGCCGTATCGAGGTGGAGTAGTTGAGGTGAACCCTGTCCACAGTACTGCGTACATTTTGGAGACCTTTGGTGTGGGGTCAACGTGCTGTACTTGATGTCGTAAAATGCCGCGGTGGCCGGGTAGGGGACACCCAGGAAAAGCCGTGAAAACTGACAATCGTAGTGACCACCAGCGCAACACCAAAGCCTTGTACAATCGTGATGTCAATCGCGCGCTTGATCCAAACCTGGTAGAGAGATCCGTTTACTGTGGATAGGCACTGTCCAAGGAAGAGAATGCTCCATTGTTTCTCACGCGTGATCGGTGGTGTTCGTCTGTGGATTTCTAATCTTAAGGGGTTTGGGTACGAGATCATCACGGGCATTGCGATAGACACAACAAGAAGGGCTACCGCGACGGGCGGGAGTAGGGACTACTGAGAATAGATCAACTTTCACGCAGTGGGAGATGGGGTTGTGAGCAGAAACCGCAAGCAACGCTCAAAAGATACCCTCATCGCGTCGTTGCCAAAATGACGGCACCTTGTGCACACAAGGCCACCCGATCTTGAGCGTGCAACCGCAACCGCAACCAGCTGCTCCAAACATCGTCGCCAATGTGGACGGAAAAATTGGCCAAAATCACACCGCCTGCTGACCCTGAAGCCCATTTCGAAGGACACTGATACCCCCTTACTCCCCCGGCGGTAAGAGATTAGACAATCGAAACAAACTTTACACATGTAGCTCGCTTGAGAGGAACTCACGCCTGGTGTCGTAAGAGACTCGGTGACAAACGCTCATGAAGTACTACCAAACCTTGAATCGAAACAGGACAAAAATACATTCGAAGCCGTAGCTATTCGTGCGACTTTTCTGAGACAGCGAGACATGTTGGGTAGCAGAAGCCGTTTCCTCGAATTCCAAAAGGCAAAATATCAGCATTGTACCTCGAGCTCTTCGGCATGGTCTACTCAAAATCGTATCAACACATGTTTGGCCTGGCCCCACACACACACCAACATTGAAACATCACACCGTCTTCGAAATACCGCGGCGTCATCGCGGTGATCTCGCCGAAAATACAGCCACACAAACAAAAAGTTGACCCGATAGAACGATCAGCGTGCGAAACATTTCTGTTTCGGAATATTACTACAACGCCAACCGATGCATCCGCCCTTCGAAATCCGTTCCCAACGTTCTGGAAAATGTGGAATAGTTCAACCGGACGGAACATCGCACGTGCTCGCGTCGTCATCCGCGCCCTAGACAGAATTTCGAAGCTCGATTTCCCCATAGCCCAGGAGTGAGTATGGTGGGGGGCTGTGGAAAGATCCCCAGGCAATCAACCTTTGAAGTTTGGGCTAGGGGGGTGCGAGATGACCCAGGTACATACAGTATAACACAACAGAGCAGCAACGTTGAAGAGAATTTTTCGTGACGAGTGAAGTGCGTCAACTGGCATTTTTGCACGGTACAGGTTCTCGACGCTGCGCAACTGTACAAGGATGCGCCCGACCGCAGATTTGGACAACGGTCAAAATGATCCATATCATGCGAGTGTTGTGCAAACCGTGACAGTGTAAGAGGTGTTCCGCTGTGGTGGCATAACACGCGAGAAGTTAGGTGCCAATCAACATACATCATTGTTGCTCTCATTGTCGAGATTGTATTTCTGTCGTTGCTGTTGATAGTGTCGTCGTGTGTGGTGTTCTGGTGTTCCCGTTGTTACCATCGTGACATTCAATCATGATCCTTTCAACTTGAACCGTTGGCCAGAAGACAAGCCAGTGTTCTCACCACTCAAGACCACACCCCGTCAAGACATTACGTCACGTCGAACATGAAGAAATGTCGTGTGAGAAGATCGACAGAATGAACCGGGAAAATAACTCATATAAGCCAAACTGCGTATGAACGACCATGTACCTCGGACCAACACAGCCTCTGCAGAAGACTGAATGAGTGGATGCCGTTGGCGTGGTCATTCCTTATCCTCATACACAAACTTTGCCTACCGTGGGCCTGCCGAAGGTACCAGAATATTGTGCCCCTTGAACAACCAGAAAGGAGGTCCTTGGAAAGTCATTATAACTAACAACAAGCTTGTGGTGCGCGTGAGACCAGATTATGGGGAAGCAGCGACGGATGGGAAAAGTGGGAATCTCTTGTCGGCAGGAAAGTCTCAAGTCTTACCTGTGTGCACATGTTCCTGAAAGTAGGCGGAGGCATGCTCCTTGGGGGCCGTAGAAGTCCTATGACACGTAGGATTGACACTGACTGGGCCGATGTCATCGAGAAAGTCGCTCGAAACACATGCTACGGGTAAGAATGTTTCAAAACATGAAACCGCCACGTCCACGAACAACACCATCGACGACGAGGATAAACACACCTTGGCGTTGACCTTGCTCGGCCGGCGTCATCTTGCGCTTGGTCCTGGTCCATCCCCTCGCCTGCCATCGCCGTCGTCACTTCTTCCTCGCGAAGTTGACACCTTCTTTTCGATTGATGGCAAAATCCAGTCAGTGGAGGGAAAGAAGGGGAAACGTTGAGGGAATGATCGAATGAGCGGAAATGTGAAGCTGCGCGTGAAGGCCAAATCGTCAGAGAAACTATACCCCCGTCTTCGTGTGTGTTGTAGAAGGCAACCAAGCGACGAGAGGATACAGCTTGCCGCTCCAATAGTGTGGCACTTTTCTACGATGGTACTGCAGGTAATGGTTAGCTGGAAGAGTTCTTGCAGTGACATACCAGTACAGTATTGCGGGTTTCACTACACAAATCGGCGCTACTGGCTCGCTCGTCATGCTTGTGCTGCGTGCAGCAGTGCACCAAGGACTACAGCACCTCGAGTGGCACCCGTAGAACGAGCAAAGCGTTGGAATGGTCCTGAACATATCAGCCCCATCCGCCCGGTGAGCGCCGCACTATCGCGTCTACTCACCTCGCATGGTCTAACATCCCTGCTGCTGGGCCCCTCCCTGAGAACGGCGCCCTGAAGGCTCTCCGTACCGTCATGTTTACTGTCCGCAGCGTTCCGAGAGGTGCCTCCGGCGCAGGTCCAGGATTTTGAGGCTTCAGCTGTCCATCCAGAAGAAGCTAGTGATGCAGCAGGAGAAAGCTTTGGGGCGGAGGGCGAAGACTCGGCTTGAGCTCCACTGATCTTTCCTTGACCGGTCGGGCATGGCCCTGAGGCTGATGGTGATACCCTTGCTCCGCACGCCATCGCTGCGCCCACTAAATCTGTGATTGGTGCAGCTTGCTCTGCGTCGCCTGCCCCGTCTGTTGTTCCCGATTTTGTTGCGGTTGTTGGTGCCTGTGTGCTCGATGGTGCTGATCTAGGCGAACTAGAGGGAGAGTTGGAGGTGGAGGTGGTAGCGGCGGCATTCCTAGCAGAACCCGCCAAAGCAGTAGTATTGCTTCCGCCCGCATCGGCGGGCACGGTATCGATGCTGGATGCTGGCCGAGGCCCAGACTGAGGGTACGACGGCGAAGCGGTCACGTCAAGGCCCGGGAGTGCCGGAGGTAGCAAAGCCCAGACGGGCAGGGATGCGGTGGCGGCGGTAGGCTTATCTGCGTTGGGGGAGAGCTTTTGGTGTGGGATCGGTTGCGTGATTGTGGGAGGGGTAGAGGGAGAGATGGGGGGCGAGAGGTGCGTGTTCTCCTGCAGAGCACCTGGGGCCGTCGTGTCGGCTGCCCCTGTAGCTACTGGTGGCGGTGGGGGGGGTGGATGAGGAGCATGCGCCGGCCCCGGGACAGTCTCCGCTCCATCAGCTAGAGGTGGTCCTAACTCCGACAGGCCCGCCTGGGGGCCAGTCATCTGGCCCGGTTTTCTGGTGACGATGCTCGTTCCGTCACCCAAGCAGCCTGGGGCCCCTTCGGGAACACCGCTGCTGTCGTCCCTCTGCCCACATTTTCCGGTAGAGACACTCAACGGCACAGGCAAGCCCTTCTCGGAAGCGATTACCCCCTCGGTGTTGGCAGGGGTACAAGCACCACGACACGGCGGAGGTTCTTGTGTACCACTCACGTGTCCAGCGACCCTCTCGCCCCCGTCTCTGGAGGTCGCGGTCCTCACATCAACTGCTGTTTTGCTGGACATGTGCACCACTGGTGGTTCCTGTGGAGCGAACCCGACCCTGCTGCCACCTCTGGGCTCCTTCCCTTGCACCAGAGACGCTGCTTGCTCCTGGTGCATGAAGAGCGTAGCTTCCCGTACACTGTCCTCCTCCTCGTCGTCGTCATCCCTCGAGCCTCGGTCGTCGCTGCGGAGGGCATCCAAGGGTGCTGGGGCCACCGGCATCTCCAACTGAGGTTTGCCGGACGGGCAGTAGAGGGGCGGAAATGGTGTCACAATGTCTCTGAGGCAGGCCGTTCCCGTGGTGTTGGTTTACTCAAACTGGTCTCTACCACAGACTCGCCGTTGTTCCATTTTGCAAATTCATGGCATAGTTCTCAATTGTTTTGATGCGAGAGCCATCGTCTTAACAGCAGTCCAGTGTGGCAAAAGCACAGAGAGAGTCAATTTCACGGGAAACGTGAGCGCGGCGTGCATGTTGGATCTTTATGTCGTACCAATACCGTCGCGAACGACTCACCTCGAGGTTTTCCACGTTCGGTGGCGACGACGTTGCCCACGGTATCCCGGTCAACCACAAATCCGTGTAGATATCTTCAGATTCAGGAGACGACCTAGCCGTCGGTTCCGCGTCTGGCCTCTTGTCTGCTGGACATTTGCTGTTGATTCTTCCCGTCGCAGCGTCGCTTGGTGCTACTGCTTCCGCGGTTCTAGCTGCCATTGCTGTTCCACCGTGCGAATGCTCCCCTCCAGATGAACGTTGTGGGTGTGGCTGTTGTGCCGTGATGGCCGGCGACGCTGACTGCCGCATTGGCCTGAAAGGAGCACAACAATCGGACGACCACTGCGGCCGCGTCGGTATCGGGGATCCGGCACCCCACGAAGTGCTGAGGTATGAAGGCTTGCCCCGTTTCTGAAGAGGCAGGTGGTGGGGTTGCAGATTGTGCAACAGGCCGTGAAGCGAGGTCTTTGACTCGGCATACTCGGTGCCTGCCACTGCATGATTGCTGGAGGCAGGAGCTGTTACAGGGCGGCGAGGCTGCTTCGTTCCACCACCCCTCCCTCCACCACCGGTGCCCTCCCGGTCCCGTTTACTCCGGTCTTTCCTCAGCATCCCCGTGCCCCTGTGCAAAGTCGTCAAGCAAAAAAAAATAACTCCGTTGTTGTTTCGCTCAAATGTATCAAATGTCTTGGAGGATCTGGTACCGGGCGCCTCGGATTGTGGAAAGACCTTTCGCGGGTATACCATTTATGGTGTCTATTTTGCTTGCTTGAGAATGGCCTTTGAACGGGGCGCATCGTATCCCGCAGGGTGCGCTATAATAGTACAGGAACTCCGTGTGAAACGTGTGCAGAGATACATGCGGGATAGGGTTGGAATCGTTTTTCGTTGGGGATTCAGCAACAACATTAGCCACGCAGGTACCAATGACAGGCCTTGCCACGTACACAGGTGAAACTCTGTGGTGGAACGTGCATCACCCCCTTCATGCCGCGTACGGCCCGGGGTATCGACGTACTCAAACGAACATGGGTCTGGAAGGGGTCGGTTCGATCCTTGAGTCATCACTAGAGGAAATTGTTTGACCGGCAACAAGAGATCAGCGGCGACGATCACACTGCTCCCACCGTTTCAAGCCCCCCGCCCCAAAACATGTGGTGTGCTGTGGGCCAACTACCACTTGCTGCCGGCAAGGGTGGCTTCGAGGACAATCGGTACAACAGGGCAAGCACCATGTGATGTGGGTGGGCAGGGTTGCTTGACTGTAAGGTACCACGCAAGACACGAAAGCTGCACGAGATTTTACCGGAAAACGAGACATGCCATACACCGAATCTATTGAACGCTGCTGGAAAAAGTTCGTAGAACGACCAGGCAACAAACCAAATGCCGAACCTTACCCCTTTACAAATTCCCTTGTCCCTGTAGCTGTTGCTGCCGCCGCCGCTGCAGCTGCTGCCCTCGCTTCATTTGTTTTGTGATCAGCCACAGCTGATATCACAGAGGCCACTGCGGCTGCCCTGGCCGCTGCCCTGGTCGCCGCCTTCGACAGTCCAAATCCCCCCGCGGTCGAGCCGCCTTTCGACCTTCCAGCTGCATTTGCTTCTCTCCGTGATCTCACGGCAGGGGGTTGAGGGCGCTTGAACACACCTCCAACAGGGCTAGAGATTTGTGTCGTGGTAGGGGTGGAAAGCATGCTTGCGGGGGCCGAAAACGGTCGAGAGGTTATTGGCTCGTGCGGGGGGTATTGCATGCCGGCTCCAAACGAGTGTGCCCGTCCCGGCAACGGGTTCGTAGTTGCGGCGACTTCGGCGACCTTCAGCTGCTCCCGCGAGGCCATGGTTCGGGGTGGACTTCGTGGTGGCTGTTGTGTGGGGAATCCCCGGAAGCCCAAAGGTTGTATCACAGGGTATACCCCGGAAGGGTTGGCCTGTGCCCCGATGTCAACGGTTTCGTCAACCTTGCTAGCCCTTGATTCCGATACAGCGATGCCAGAAGAGGTCCAAACGCCGACGGCATTGCTGAGAACACCGCTTCCCATTTGACCCGCACAGGGTAGATTACTTTTCGCCTTTGGGGTATGTGCTTTCTCTATCGGCTGCTGGACCGAAGCGTCGTGCACGTTGCAGGAGTGTAGAGTAGCTTCCAATGTGGACGGCGCCCCTCCCGCCGTCGATGCTCCTCGACGCCGCGCTGCTGCAGCCGCCGCTGCCGCCGCCGCCGCTGCTGCCGCCGCCGCCGCCGCTGCTGCTGAGGACTGCATCATTCCGCGAAGCCACTCTTCGCGTTGATTTGCTGTGAAGGTGGTGGTTCCCACTGTTGCCCCCGAACATGTCTGTATGCACGGGACGGCCTGAGAATGCTGTGCGTGGAAGGCTACAGGGATCGCATCGCTTCCCACGCCGGCGACAGGCACAGCTGACTCTGGCGAGCGGTGTTGATGGTGCTTGGGGGCCTCTTCCGTGCTAAGTGCGCTCGACATGATGTAAACACCACCAGAGTTTGGCCAGCCACACTGCTGCCGGTTCCGCGGTGTGCGTTTGTAGCTTCGATCATGAAGGTCACGACGAGCCCGTGCCGACGTAACCTGTGCGGAGCGACACGTATCGTCCACAATACAGACAACTGCAGGTGTTTCTAGTCCTCCGATTTCCTAGGAGGAGATGGACTAGTCTAAAACAATGAACAATGACAAATCACGACCAACGTGCGCGCACGCGAACGCGCCCACGCCCGCAAATTCCTTATTCTGGCCGCACGAAACTGTGACTCTGTGTGCTGGCACATGTTGCGGTGAAACTCCGCGGGACTGTAAACGGAACCGACATCGACCAGGTGGACCCCACCTTTTTTCTCCTTTTTTTTCTTTTTGTCCTTTTTTTTCTCTCTTTTTTTTCTCTCCGGCCGGACCACGGGAATCGACCGCGTCAAATGAAGTACCTGTGACCAAGGGAGTGTGCCTCTTTCTCTCCGGCCCATGATAGATAGTGACTGCTAATCTCAGCTGATACCCCGCATAGCGTGAAGAGGGAGCGGAGGATCCCAGAATATCTGTCGTCTGTCGTTGATTTCTATTGACTTGCGGACCCCTCGGGGCCAGTTTATTTGAATGTACCTTTTTAGGGTAAGTTAACCTGTGACCACGGGAATCGACCGCGTCAAATGTTGGATCAGTACGGACATACGAAGGTACTGGGTAGAGAGAGATCGGAACGGTTTTTAATGTGAAGACAACAACAACAACAACAACAACCCACCCACCATTCCGGCTTTGATGAAACCACGGATCCCCCACGTTGGGCTGCAAGTCCCAAGTGAACACACTTCACCATTTCATATTTGACAGCAGTGTGTTGCGCCTCCGCGGCAGTGCGGTGCGTGCCAGTACGCCCTGCGTGGGTCCACGGCCTCCTCGCCTTTGCCTTTTCTGAGGGCTAGGTTGGCGTCATGGAGGCGCCGAAGGAGCAGCTGACACCACTTTATCAGGTGCTGCTGAACTCGATCAGTGTGTGAGCTTGGGTTGTACTGCTGTACAGTACGGTCGTGGGAGTAGCATTATCTCGAGTCTAACGTAGCTCGCTGACCTCGGGGTGGTGTCCCCACTGCCATCGCTTGCGGCTTGTCACGAAGATATTATGCCCCACCAAATGGCGTGCTCTTATGTATTGTGGCTGGTGTTTTCTGCAAGCTCTCTGGTGAATCGCCGAAAAATGCCAGAGAGCAAAGATTAAGATTGTCTAACCGAGCAGGCGACGAAAGAGTCAACTTGCTTATGTAGACTACCCAGCAGTGTAGTGTCGACAGCAGCTTGTCTGCTGCGGGAAAGAAAGCCGGGGCAAGCTCTGTGTATTTGTATCGACACTAGTTGTGCTACTTTGGAACGTACTCTGTGGGAATCGACAACGGGAGATCGGCGGACTTACAGCTATTTGCTTGCTGTTCGGGGGGGCGAGGAGAACACGGCCGCCTCAAGCCTCAAACTGCACAGAGCGCACCGGTCCTGCATTCTTACATTGATAGCGCCCCCAGCTGTCTCCCCAGTTGCTGACTTGATTGATGTGTCCCCACTTTATTGTGCAGTGCCTCGACTTAGAGGTGGACATTGACAAGAGCTTCTTGAGAGGCCGCACGTCCATCTGGCTCCTGCATATTCCGTCGCATGGGCGGGGTGACTGCTACCCCACGGAGATCAAGCTACACTGCCGGCAGAACGAAATTAAGGCTACCAAGGTATGATGTCCCAGTCCCGCTTCAATCAACCGCACGGCAACTAGTCCGGTCTAAGTAGGAAGCAAGAAGACAGGACAGGGCTGCTGTTGTAAGCAATCGAACTGGTGATTAATAGAAGTATAGGTTTTAGTGCAGGCTGGGGTCCAGTTCTTAACCAAGTTCCAATTCCTTAGCGAATGACGCGCTCGGTTCTGTGCATTCACGTAGTGTATGGGTTTAAAGGTGGTACACGATTTGTGCAAACCATCCTCCGGTCTATTGACTAACTACCGTCCACGGACGCACCACTTGCAGGAGAAGGTATTCAAATGCCACCTTTACGGAAAGAGATAAGTTTCATATTGCATTCATATCCCACACGATCGAGTGTGGCTTGCGACTTGATCTCTTGTTTGTTCTAAAAAGGTGAACGGGTGCCTGTGCGCGTCAACATACCTGGATAGTCTGGAGGAGGTTGTCAGCCCCGAGGGTTACCGGGATGCCGAGGCCTTCGATATCTGCTATAGGTTCTTGACTTGTATTTGTTCGGGCTAGCATACCAGTTCGAAGTGTACAATTCGCAAGAGACTTGATAGGTCGCGTTGCTTTCTTAGTAGTTGGGTGAAGGCGTTGTGTGGGTGGTCTTGTCGTCTTTGGTTGGCCATGACGGTGGGGCAGCGGACACCCGTTGTTCTTCGCGAACGATCGCCGTGACTGTTTGCCAGGCAAAACCGTGCTAGGCGTTGGTGTTGGCGTTGACCGACGACGGCGGGGGTCGTTTCGGATCGCACGGATGCAGCGGCGTCCGTACGTTCCCGATTGTGACGCATGCATCAAAGTAGGTTCCGGCGCAACATGGTCGTTGGTTCTCCTCGTGCTGTCGTTTTCGTCGTCAGCGTTTCCTCGACGATGTGTTTGCAGCTTTTGAAACGTTCAGGCTGGCTCTTGACGCCATCCTGCCCTTTTCTGCTGTGTTGTGCACCTCTTTTTCCTGTGCGGTTGTCGATGTCACTGTCGTTGTGCGCTCGGGGTGTTGGCCTGGGTTAGGGCGAAGCTGTGGGCGAGCTCCCAGAGTAACAACGGCGAGCTCAAGATCCAGGTGCCGGCGAACTCGAAAAAGATCCCCCAGCTACCCCCAGGTGCTTGCTGACTTGGTGATTGGCGTCGGCTTAGAATTCGTCGTTGATATGCTTCTGCCGCTGAAAGTGCGTTGTACTGCTTCGTGTTTGTTTCGCCCTGCACCTTCTCATCGCGTGCATCCCCTGACTATAGGCATTTTCATGCGTTGCCGACGTGTGGCCAAGCTTCAACCGTTCCTCGGCCTTGGCCTTGGCCTTGGCCTTGACCTTGGCCCTAACCTAACCTACACGTCCAGCTTTACCGGATGATGACGTTGACTTTGTTCATTCGTGTTTCGTGGGGGTAATGAAGATGGTTGTCATATGGTGAACGCAGCACGTTTTTGAAATCATTTCGTAGTATCGTTTCACCTTTTGCTGCTGAGCTTGGGAACCCACTAATACACTATTGCGGGTTTCGACTGTCGGATTCGAGCTTTCCGCGTTTTGCCGTATAACGGCCCACAACACCCGACCTATGTAGATCGAACCAGCTTCCCTCATTCGCCGCCAGATTTTGCATTGACTGATTCAGTGTTTACCCGGTTGATACTGACATGTATGACTGCACTGTTGGAAGCAAATATGGATTGATGGTACTGCCATGAGTGATATCCTGTTTTTCCCAGTCTACCTTTTTCTCCGGGTGCACTTGTCGCATTCGTACCGCGCGCCGATTGGAGCCATTTTAAGTGGAGACTTGTCCCGCGTGTGTGATGGTGCAATCGGGAACCGCTCACGTTTCCAGACCTTCCGGAGACGGCGCCGTCAGCGGCCCGCGCCCGGCGGGACGAAACCGCTCGCCTCATACACAAGTCGCGCCAGGTGGAGGAACGGAGGGAGGCCAAGCGAAAGCAGGTACTGTACTGCTATACAGCAGTAACAGCAGTTTTTGAACGTGTGCCATGGCGTGTAATTCCACCCTCCAACCTGCTTTCGCTCGGTATGCGTCTTGGGTAATGGTGCTTGCACTGCTGTACCCCCAAAGGGAGGTGGAGAAAGATTACGAGGAGATCGAAAACTCCTGGCTAAATTGTCCTTGGATAAGATTGGTTCGTCCAGACATACCGAACAGTGTCGAGCTGGCGCCGAGATAATTTGGGATGGCGTGAAAGACGCACACGCGTACCAATGAAAAAAAAACTGTAGGCTGCTGCACAAACCGTGAGTTTCGTGGCGAGAGCACCGGGGTGTACGAAAGGGGCTCTGATTGCAACTAACGTTGGCCTCTTCCGCGGTAAATAGGATGTCCGGCCGATGAATTCCAAACACCCACCTGCTGGCTGGGACGGCATGAATTTGATTTAGATCATCTCCCGTTCGATTGCCCCCATGAATGGAAGCATGTTTCCATCGACGGCGTTTCGCAACTACCAGCGAAAGGTGTTTGCTGTTTGGCGCGCATTGGGATGCGACGCGTTAAGTTGTTCCGCCACAACCGTGCTATGCTATGAAACGGTCTATGTTTTTCCGCGACTCCGCCTTCGTAAGTATTGTGTGTGTTTGCATAGCTCGCATTTGTTTACGTCAGTTGTTTTTTGCGGTTACCAGGTATGTTCACACCCCTTCATCGGAGGACAGCTTCTAGGCGATCACGTTCCCAACGATTGGATCAGGGTGAGGTTTAGCCCTTCACGTGTTGTGCGTTTGTTCCGTGCCATGCTGGCCAGGGCTCGCGAAGCGGCTTTGCGCCGCAATCTCCGGAAATCTCGATGATGTCACCCGCCCACCCTTCTCCTGGTTCCAATGCCAACATGGACTCCCCAGCACCGATGGATGTGGCAGATTCTTCCGACGACGACAACTACGATGGCCATGTAAGTATAAGTATGTTGACACTAGTGGCGAGCAATTTGCGGAGACAACAACATTCCTGCCGCGAAGGCGGGGCGTTTTGTATCCGTTCGTTGTCGTAATACATGCGTTTGTTTTTGGACTCGACGGGATCAACTTCACGTGGAATATGTAGTCGGCACGTTGTGCCCAGCTGCCCAGATGGAGAGATTGCTTGCCGTTTGCGGTTTTCCCCTATAGTAGTTGTCTGCCTCACGGCTGCGCTGGAATAGTTGCTTATTACCAGCCAATACGAAAATCGTTGCCTCATGAAGGTGAAGTACATCTGGCGTGACGTGTAACTCTCTAGGGATGGGACGAAACTGGTTATAAATGACAGCATCAAACTCGTCCATCATCCCGTCGGGCGCCACTGCAGCTGTGACGTTCAACTTTTCTGATCTCTGTCAGATTGAAACGGCACGTTAGCACAGGCGTGCATGCCAGAATTGTTGAACAATGATAACACCCCGACCAACGCGCGCACAACCACAACAACATCAAGCCTGACTGTGGGGCGACTTTCCACGGAATTTGTCGTGGAATTACAATTTTTGCCGTGCAAGAGGACTCGGTCAAGTTCGGTGACAATCTCGCCCACATCGTGTTCGCACTTCTGGTTTGAGTGAAGTATTGGCTCTTGGGGCGAAATGTGCCGCTAAACGCGAGGCTAACACTTCTCTTACTATCTTGTGCTCTCTTCTCTTGTTGCGTTTGGCATCTATTCTTTTTTCACTAACCTTGAGGTCGAGTCGGCCACTGTGGAAGCACACCGCCAGCGCAAGAGGGAGGAGCACGCCAAGGTCATTTGCGTTGAGGTAAGGCCTGTCAGTTGAACTTGCGTCGTTTTCCCGCTTGATTTGATTGATTTGATTGATTTGGTTGATTTGGTTGAGGCTATGTTGGTGACGGCGGTGGTGGTGGCGGTGCTACCCTTTCATTTACCATCCTCTTCTCACGGAGGCTACGGCCTGACGCCATGGCCTATACCCTCGTACGACATCATTGTACCGTACAAGGCAACCAGTTGGGTGAAAATGACGAAGATGGTGGTGGCCATTTGTCTCTTTTTCACCGTCGCCAATGCTGGAGGTTCTTGCTCCTGACCTGTCTCTGACTCCCGCCGTTTTCGGATCCTTCTACTGTATGTATAAAAGCTGTTTTCCATGTCATGAGTGCTGTTTAGTACGCGGTCGGTGTGCTCAGCCGTGTCCAACGTGCATACGATTAACGTATTTGCACATATACACATATGATACCATCGGTTGTCGGCACGGTACCCAGTATTTCAGACATGCTGGTGCTGATAGCCATTCCGTCTCTCAGTGGTGAAGGATTAGTCTATTATTGTGGAATACAATACGGGAAGGAAGGGGTGCTTTGGCCCTGTCCTGAGGTTGGAGCTGGATGAAGTTGCGACGCTGTTTGACGCGGTGTTCAAGACAGCTGGGGATGGCACGGGTGAAGGCTTGAAGGAAAATATTGTGTAGGATAGACCCCGCACAAACAAACCACACCGAAGAAAGCTAAGGCGGGCTGTCTGTCGACAGGTATCGCTTGGAATTGCCAACACTGGAAAATTCAGATGAAGGTGGTTTGATGTATTCGTACGCAGCATGCGCTGCATCCCCAACGTTACAGTTTTACTGCTCTTTTCCTTCTTCATACCTCAAAGGTGGAGTGGGAGCTGCTGCACCCCCGCTCCGGCGTTGTTTTCAAGGCGGCCAGGGAGGGCTTCAGCGCTAACCACATGTACACCACCTACTCCCACGCACCCATGGACATGGACGGGCCGAGGTGAAGCGGGTTGATCGAGACTGCGGCTGACGGTGTTTCACTGGCATTCTCGTTCTTGCTGTTTATCCTGGCTTTGTGCAACACCGTCGCGTTGCTGTTACTTAAAAATACTAGCCAAAGTGTTTCGCGGCGAGTGTATCCAGGCGTTGAGTTCACTTTTGAGCCTTGTGTGGATGTAAGCCTTCCTGTTGCGGCGTTGTTTCCAGCGGTCTAAAGCAGGTTAACGTCATTTCAACCTGCCGACATGACTTGGAATGAATGATTGAAGTTTACCCAGTGATCCACCTGCTTCCAACCTTGTGGTACTGGTCTCGCTTCGTTGGGCGTTTCGTCGGTGTGTACCGCAGAACCCGTGGACTCTTGGTGTTATTTTTTTTTTAACGCGAGAGGGAAGTTCTGGCCTTGACCGTATGCATAACGTTCATGTCTAGGGTGGGGATAACGGCACCATCGTATTGGATCACAATCAACCCGTTTTGCCACAACTTCCGCCTACACCCTTGGAACAGCACCACCACCAGCGAGAGGCCACCAGCGTGAAGGCCATCTTTTGATATCGGTATCGCTCGTGCTCGCCTGGTGGCCCCTCTTGAACGACGAACTGAACAGGTCCTCTCCTCTCCTCTCCTTGACGAAGCACGACACACGACACACTTGTGTGCGCCTGCTCTCTCTCTCACCGCTACTCGATTCTCCCCTCGCCTGAAACGCTTGTCGGATGCAGGTGCTGGTTCCCTTGTGTCGACCACGCCTCTATCCTCATCTCGTACGACGTGACGGTCCGAGTGGCATCTCCCAAGATCACCGCGGCCTTCAACGGCAGGCTGCTGGAGAGCATCACTCTCGACGACGACGATGATGATGACGGCGATGTTGGTGTCAACGGCGGCACCGACGGCATGGCTGTTGGAAAGAGAACTAGGTGAGTGTGGTAATATTGGCAGTGACCAAAATCAGACGGTACTTACCGTGTAAAGGCGCGAGGAATCGATTCAAATGTTTTTTTTCAGATTAGGTGCGGGAATAAGATGAAAATTCATGCACAACTGACGTTGACGAACCAAGCAACGGATTGCGAAAGTGTGTCATTAAGTCTGTACAAGTTGTAAAGGGCGTCAAGCGTTTGAGATGTACACACCTTGGAGAGAAACACAAGTACAGTACTGCATGCAGCGGACGCAGAGAGATGTCAGTGCATAGGTAATGTATATTGCTGTAGTGGGGGAGCAATGTTACAGTTGCTATCGTTTGAGGAGGGTAGGATAACAGTTAAGTGAACAGCCGTTGCTCTTCAACGGTGGGAGGAGGTTGATACAAAGGTTGTCAGCGAGCGCAAGGCGAGCACAAGATTCGTGTGAGCCCGACCATGCCCTTTCAAAAACCTCGCCTCAATTCGCCCTGAGCTGTCGATGAAACTTCGAGTTGGAGTCGCCCTCTGTGATCGTGAGCGTACCTACTGCAATTTCCTACGGTGATACAGAAGTCACTCCACGTCAGGATCGGATTTTTCGCGTCGGAGGCAGCATCATTGTGCGGTCCCACCTTCGTTTGCTCCAGACCCTTGGTGTGTGGTAGTAACATGCATGACAGTTCATGCGACCGTTTTCTGTGGGCACCAAAGACTTGTGTGCAGGATTTGTCGCCCTGGCGATTTTGAGGCTTTGTCTCTCTCTCTGGATCGCAAAACAGGCACTGCTACAATCTAACGCTTGTTTTCGTCGTCGGGATCAGCATTTTACGAAGAGCTACAGTAGCCTTCCCTGCGATGAACGTTTTCTACGACATCCCCTCTCCTTCGCTATGTCGGCAGCTACTCCACTTGCTATCGGTTCTCGACGGAGACTCTAACGGCCGCCCGGGCTGTCGGGCTCGCCGTCGGCCGTTTCGCTGCTTGGGACGTGCCGCAATCCCCTCGCGTGAAGGGCTTGGTGCTGAGGGCTGCTTCTGCGGGGGGTGGGGGAAGGTCAGGCACCATGAAGGTGCAAGAACGGGCAGTTTTTGTCGAGATGGCGATGGGAGTGCGTGTGGCTTGGTCCGTCCTCTTGTTGTTGGATAGTTTTTTTTTTGTGGAGCTGCTGTGGATTTTAAAGGTTCCTTGCCTCTTGCTGGTGCCGCTGTTTGTGCGGGTTGCGTCTCTTGTTGCTGACCGAAACGTTTGTGGTTGGGTATAGCTGGGTATGCCCATCTTCCGGCCAACAATATCTCCCAACCGAACCGACTCTTCTGGAGTTGACTAGCAAGACAACCACGTAGCAGCGGTGCATACGGCACCGATAACAAGTGGGCAGCAAGCAAGCAGAAGCAGCAAGCTAGCGATATGCGCAGGCCCTTCAACTGATATCCACGAGAAAGGGGCCAAAAACGCCTGCATGTTTTCCTATGAAATTGGCTGCGGCGTGTCCGTTAGCTGCGTTTTTTTTTAGGAATAAAGAAGTGGCCCTGCCGATATCGGGCATTGGAAAAAAATACAGTACTGTCTGAGATCGGGGGATGACATGGTCCAATGTGAACCATGGCTACTACGGCAGCATGCTTCGGCCGAAAGCTCTCTGCATCGCACCCTGTCAATCGCGTTGCGCCTCCTCTCCTTCCGTCATTCATCAAGCAGACCTGACTTGAAGGGTTCGCAGTTCTCGCATACGTTTCGATTCGTTCCTCGCATCCGGTTGAAACGTCAAACTTCCTGGCACCCTTTGATGGTTCGAACGAGTGGAGAGTTGTAACTTGATTTTCCCCGACGGACCTCTCGTTTTTTTTTTGTCATGCTTTCATGCATTCACGAATAGGTTACGATTGCATGGCCATTGCTGAGGAGTTTCATCGCTGGTTCGTCTCTGTCAGTTGTTACTGTTGTGTTAAAAGCGTGTGTGCTGCTGTTGTTTGGCACAGTCCGAGCGTAGAAGAGCCGTGGACAACAGCTTGATTGCGGGGGCGGGAAGTTTGCTTGCACACGTGCCGGCCGCCGTTTCGTTCCTCGAGGACTGGCTTAAGGCCGACTACCCCTTCAAACGGTGCACGCAGGTGACGTTCGTCATGCGATCGCGCGTGACGTAGTTTGACCTTGTGTGACGTTGTTAAATGGCATGCGATGTCATGTGACGCCATGCATGCGATAATGTTGTATGGCGTTGTGGGTCGTTTTGCGATGTCACATATGGTGTAAAGCGCACAGACAATAATATCGCTCCCCGAGAAAAAAGACCGCTCTCTCTCGGCTTGGATTGAAAACCACCGCCTATTTTAGTGTTTCCTTCATCGTCCACTTGTGGCCTAGATGAAGGCAAGACCCAGGAGACAATTCATTCATGGGGCGCTGTTTGGCTGTGCATGCCCGTCGTAGTTGTCGAACGGAGGGTCGATATGTAGTGATGGGCAGGGTGTCAAGCCGTACCGTACAGGTTGAGAAGGTTGAGCATGCGTGTGCCTTCATAAACACGTCTCGAGCCAGAAGCACTCCGCGACACGTGTCCTGGGCATGCCTAGGGAACGCAACCGTGAGAGGGATGTCGTTGCCCTACCCGTGAGTCAGGAGGCCCCCCATGGAACATGCGAGAAAATTTCACGACTAATTTTGGGTTGGCTCTCGTCAGGCAAGCTGGTATTTCCCACCCTGTCTGTGTTCCACTTGCTAAATCTGGTTTCCTCCTTTGCGCCTATCCAGGTGTTTGTGGAGGGCCTGCCGGACGTGTTTGCGCCGTTCGGTTCCCTATGCCTGCTCAAGGCCGAGCTGCTGTGCACCGAAGACGACAGGTACTGTACACAGGCTCCTCGTAAGCTTTGGTGTTTGCGTCGCTAGTACTTTCTCACTTTATTTCTTGGAGCCACCGACTATTGTATGGTGGTCCTCCTTAGAACAATGGTTGTTCTTTATTTTATTGTCCTAGACGTTACGTGTATTATTGGTTGTCCTACGCTCTTGTTGTTGTCTGTGGTTGTGTCACCTGTTGTTGCCGATGTGTTGTCGCAACAATGTTATGGAGCTCACGGAAATCGCGGGAACATTCTTCCGTCGCTTATATTGACACCTGGAAGAGTTTTTCGCTTTCCTCACGATGAAGTTCAGGAACGATTGAGGTTTAAACCGTTGCAAACGATATTCTCTACAACATATTGTGTGGCCTCCAAACACAGCATTGTGGACTGTCAACCAAGAAGTACGTGGTCGGGGGCCCGTCGACTCGTGGAGTTAAACTCGTCCGACGTAGTGTAGGGGAGTGACGGTGTGCATATCGAATAACCACGTGTGAACAGTTGATGAAGCAGCGCAGAGAAAATATAGGGTGGAAAGGAGAAGGCTACTCCTGTCTCGTGTGTGACATTTCCCTCCTAACCCTAATCCTCTCCCTTCCTGTGTGACCAAGGTCTATGCTTCCAAGTGTACAAATTGACTCGCATAATTTATCAGATGACAGCACTCATATTTTATTCATGTGGTAACGAGTGAAGTCCCGCTGCTTTTTCTTTCGGCCAACTTTGATTGATGGGTAGCGGCATGCGATGAAGCAGAAGCGGTTCTGCTGCTTTCTCGGGTGGGTAATATTACTGGGCTGATTTGTGGTGCATTCTGAGTCGCAGGGCTCTTTGTGGTCGGTACTGCTGACGCTGTTGACCAGATGGAAAATACACAGTTCATTCAATGAAGGGTTTCTCAACGATGATGATGATTATGTTGGCGATGGCTGTTGAAGGTTCCCAGGACCACATTGGTGCTGAAAAGGCGCACGACAACATCGTTGCTCGACTCTCAGGGTGCAAGTTCAATTTTCTCGCCCGAACGGTGGACGTGAAAATGTGGGCTGGGTCGGAGTGGTAAGGATGGTTTATGCTATGGCAGCCGTGTCGTAGCGGATGATGTTTCGAGATATCGAAGATGATACAGGTTTGCAGTGCAAGTATGACGTCGGTAGCCTGAGTGAGATCGCGATGCCGCTGATGGCGCCGTCTGCTGAATGATAGGATTCCTGATGGTGACCTCCCTGGAGACGCGAGACTGTCAGCGGTAGAGGTGTTGCTTTACGGCTGGGTTAGCACCGCGCTTCGCCTGGAGGGCGGCAAGCACCGCTGGCTCGTGCATGGCATCGCTGGTCACCTCCTCACCAAGTTCGCCGCGGAGCTGCGGGGGGAGGAGGAGAAGCAGCACAGGCTGTGGTGCGCCGTTCAGAAGGCGGTGAGTTGGGGCTTGCGTGCTGCCTTCGGTGAAGCAGGCAAGGCGGCTACGTAGTGGAGGCTACGGTGCACACGGCTCGATCGTAGGAGTGCTTTGGAATGATGTGTACCGCCCCATTTTGGTTTCTGACGCGGTTTACTTTGAGTGCTGCGTATACGGGTACTGTAGGTCTCGGACGTGGCCGAGGCTCATTTGCTTCGTCACACGTTGTGGTGAAGGGATGGGCTTGTTTGGATCGAGGGTGCGGATTGTCCCCATCGACTGGGAAAACTACCACGGATGCTCTCAACCCGGATTCGAAATCCAAATCCAAATCGGGTGAGACCTCTTGAGAGGCCTCTGGTTGCACGCTGCACGGCCAGCATCCCCTGACTCCGCGAGCCCCCTGCGATTGGCCTTGAGCGCGCAGGTGGCTCTTGACTGCGACTTGGGTTGCCCCTCCATCTCCCCCCCGACCGCGGACCTGTACATCCCGGATGCTATAGACCCGGCGACGGCATACTACGCCAGACTCAAGGCGGTGCTCATCCTGCATATGGCCGAGGTGCGCGGGCTTCCGTCATGAGTTTGGTAGGGATACACGATGGAACGAACAACGCGTTGGCAACGTTACGTATAGATGCGTGTTTGTTTTGTTTGTTGGTGCACCGGATGTCATCGTTTTTGAGCTGAAGCTCTTTTGCCCTGAGCTGGACTGTTATTTGGCATGCCTCCATCGAAGGATCACCCAGAGTGTAGGGCCTTGCGGTGTACGATGTGCTTTTGCCAGAAGAACGTGTTCGTGTTGGGAGCTCGTACGCCTCGAGGTACATGTACCAAACGATACACGTCTCGCGGGTTGGCATGTGGGCGACCGTATTTTTTGGTCGTCTAATTCTTCGCTTGTGTGTGCTACATACGCACTCAGCCCCGCTCGTTCCTACACCTCGAAAAGCGTCTCTTTTCTTCGCTCTTGGTGGTGGTGGTGGTGCTGTGTTGCTTGCGACTTCCTCTCGCATTCCGGACCGAAATCGTATGCGTACAGCGATGTTTACTTTGCATTCACAGTACAGTGGTCTGAAAGACCATCCTCCTGCGGCAGGAACACACGTGCGCTCATTTGACACATTGTATTAGTGCACATTGTCCCAGAATGTTGATGTAGCAGCAACCACACTCGCACAAGGTGACACTCCCAGGCCAAAGTGATTTGGACCGAGTCATCAGACATGTAATCCAGTCCGTACGTGTCCGTACCGTGAGAGGAAGTACACTCAAACCCTTGTCCTAGCCCAATTTTTTCCTGCACCGTTGCGCCCGCCCGTGCCCAGTTGGTTTCCCACGCACTCTATTGAGACAGGGACTGCCTGACAAATACTAGTGGTGCGTTTCACTCAGGCTAGCTCTGTGATTGATACTTCCGTTTGCCAGGTTAAAGTGCAGCCGGCGGACATGCAGGATGCGCTTGGCTCCGTAATGCGTCCAATCGCCCTCCACGTGAGGGAAGAGAAGGCGGACCTCGCTCTCAGGTATTGTCCAACGCAACATGGCAGCAGCGCGGACGGCGGTCGGTAAATTGTACTATCATATGAGCGGGCATCGTGGTTGTGGTAGGCGTTCTTACTGTTGCCGGGGTCCCTACCGAGGTGCGATAGATAGGCTTGGGGCCATTCGCTTCGGTGTCCAATAGAACCTCAGCACCCCGTATGTGCTTGCATTCCGAACTGATCACCTTCGGGTCGTGGCAAGGCGCCCTTCCAACTCGGGGACAGCCGTCGTGAATGTATTGGACCTCTGCACGTATCCGTGTCTGTGTTTTTTTTTCACGCTTGTCCCGGGGCTGCTAGTGCGGCAGCCTCGGCTTCCCTACAAGTATACCCTTAATCTCTGTGGTTGAATCGCCACATTGTTTGGCCGCGACTTTGCTACTTGCGCAATGTAGGAATCGACGACATAACGGCTGACGGTGCATCAAGCGATGAACGCTACACCACCTGTCTCGGCGAGGTTTCGGAAGTCATATCCTCTCCTCCTAGACGTGGTTCGTAGTGTCCTCTGCCGTGACCGTATGCTTTGTTTCTTAGTCTCGTCAAGACAAGAAGCCCCCCTTGCCGCCCGTCTATGTTCACTTTGCACTGCAATTCTACTCTTTACACTTGTGCCGCTGTTCCGCCTCTTTCGAATACTTGCAATTTTTCAGGCGTCAGACGTCTACCTTTTCTTTGTCGAGGCAGCCGAGCTCTCTCTCCCAAGGGCAGCTATCTAGGCAAGCCTCCGCCGACTCCGCTGTCGACAAGGCGGGAGACGGCGACGATGCTGCTACGGCGGCGGCAAGCTCCGGGGAGCAGGTTGGGGGGCAGTTCATGCAGCCGCTGACGGATACAGCCTTTTTGTTGGTGAGCGATTGTAGTTTCACGTACACACTGCTTGTATTCCGATGGTCCGATAGTCCCGGTACCCTGTCCTGGCATTTTCTAACGGTTTGGCGGCGTTCTCGTGGCACGGTTAGTGGTATGGTATGGCTGTTCTGTGAGCGATTACGGTATTAATTTTTCGTAGGTGCGTGTGCAATTAGACCTGCAGCTGGACACGCCTCGCGGACGGGTTATGGTCGCACGTCGCATTCCGTCAGAAGGTTGGTGATGTATTTGGCAGGTTCTGAGCTCCAGATGTTGTCAATGAATTTCACTTGTTTTTCTGGCACGCGACTGTGTGTGGAATCTTGAACGTCAACGGGTGTGATTGTGGTTCTGCAGCTGGTTCGGACGATGGCGGCCAGAGGCGGGCACGACCTCGGGAAGGAGCTGACAGAAGGTTTCTACCACCAGTGGGTCACCGGACAATGCCTTCCTTACCTCAGGTGGGTGCTGTTGTTGGTGTTGGCGTTGTCGCTGTGACGTCGTGCGACACGCCAGCAGCACCGCACTGCTGTGGTCGTCGCAAAAGCGCGGGGCGCATCTTCGCCGGGTATCATTGGAACAGTACATAGTATCGTGTGTACCAGACTTTTTTCTCTTCGGATATCAAACAGCGGGGTCAAGTTTAGCTCCAGCCCTGCGTTAGTACACATGTGAGAACCCAGGAGTTGATACCGCGACCCTTGGACGTAAGAGGCTATCTCGCTGTAATATGAACACGTACAGACTTCTACCCGCTGCTTTTGCTGATGGTGCTCACGCTGACCATGCTGGTTCTGGCTGTGCCATCGCTGCCTTTGCTATTCACCATGTATTTGTTTCTGCGCGGGGCTGCTGGCACTGCTGGTGTTTGCTCCTGCTGATACCGCTCTTCAGGGTGGGATACCACTACAAGAAGAAGGCGAACGTCATCAACCTGGTCGTAGAGCAGGCGAGCAAATTCAGCACTGGTGGCAACAGCAGTTCACTTTCATGTTCCATGGTGCCTACCTTCTTTTCGTGCCTATGTATTGCCGATATCTGTTCGCTGCAGCCAATATCGCTGCTGCTACCACTCGAAGGGCTCAACCGTTTCCCCCGTGAATACACCAGAACGCCTAGTTCGTTCAGTGTAATCTGCTCCAGTACGGCAAGTTTCCTTCTGACTGTGGCACCGGGCGGCGTTCGTTATGTACACGATTCAATACATTGACGTTGGACCTAAGCGCCGCCACCTTGTAGAAAACAGCCGCACGTTCCCCCTCCCCGCACAACCGAGCGGCAGCACCCACTGACACAGTTTTTGCATCCCCCTTTCATGCAATGAGCGTACTATATTTTCTGCCTGCCTGGATCCCACCATGGATTCATCAACACGGCCCCCCATGTTTGCTCTGTGGTACAGTGTAGTATTGGGCGCTGCACGTCCAGGCCATGTGCCACCACTTCCGGTACGGGGACAGCTTCTTTGTCGGATCACGCGAATTTGGCGTCTATAATTCTGTAATCCCCTCGTTTTGTGTCTCGGCAGCTGGGGTTTGTGTTGAACGCGCAGTGGTTAGCAGTGTTTGCATCTTCAGTGTCCGACCGGTACTACGGGAAGCCCGGTCGATTGACAAAGTGCTGATGTACTTTCAGCTCTGCGGCTTGACCAAAGGATTCAATAACTTGCGCCTTGCATCCTAACCGTTTATGTGCCTGTACTATCGTTCGATAAATGGATGTAAAGGTGGTCCCGCCGTGGATGTCAGGCATCGCGTGCCACGGTCCTCTCACGGTGGAAGTGTGGGAGTCCGACAGCATGGGGGGCGGCAATGATAACGGACCCAGAAGGTATCCGACACGACACATGCCTCTGCTTCTACTTTCGGTTATGCGTCGCTGTTGTCACAGGAGGATAACAGCTGTTGTTGCCTTGTTGTGTTTGTTGGCATTGTCTCGCCTGCTACTGCTCCGTCTTTTGGCCTCAACGCTGGGGTACAGGGCAACTGCAGGACAAACTATTGACAACCATCTGCTTTCGTTTCCACGCTTGATTAGTTTATTGTTGTCGTTCGTTGTTTGTTTCTTGTCTTCGTGTGTCCTAGGTTTCGTGAACAGCTGCCTCCAAGCCGTGATGAGAAGAAGACGGCGAATCATGTCGAGATTATCACTAGGGCGGTCCAAAGCAAAAGCCGGAGGAGGCGAAGGGTGGGTTATTTCACCAGTGTACCTTTGTTGTTGGGGGTAGCATGAGGGGCATGGTTCAAGGCTAGATTGGAGAACATGGTCTCCGATCACCTCTTCACTGCAATCTGCCGTCGAACCATTCGACCGATATTAGAGGTCTTTGGAACCGCCCTTGCCTTCGAATATCGATGTGTTCCTTTCGAACCGTATCGTGTGCTTCTTGGCTTCTCCCCGCTCCAATCGTCCAGTCGCCCCTGGGAACAGACCCCCCCCCTCCCCGATATTTACTCCACCACACATTAGTTGTATTTCTTTGTGACTGTCAAAAGACGTGCATAGATGGGACGGGGTGTTGATCGCGTACAGTGTTAAGACGCTTCCAAACGTCCCATGTTTGAGACTCGCTTGCTCCGATGCTTTAGGCGCTTTGAATAATGGTATTGCACAGGTGTCCTCATCCATTTGACAACATTTTTCTCAGCGAACGGTTGTACTGACCCTGTTCCCTATGGCCCTCAACCACCAGCCGGCATCTTCCACACCCCGGAACAACCCCTACCCGGGAAATTCTTCCATGTCCACGGCCGGGTCATCGGCAGCGGCAGTCCAGGGGGGCGGGGGGGCGGCGGGGGGAGGCCCCGCCACAGCACCCAGGGCAAGTGGTTCGGGCGGGCACGGTGGAGGGGAGGATGAGGTAGAGGAAGAGGTGGATCCCGAGAAGCAAGCCATGTTTCAAGCGCAGGATTTCAATACGTCGCCGGTGCTGTGGGTCAAGGTATGGGGTGATGAGGCTTCTTGCCCTTCACTGGAAATTTTCGAGTTGCGAGTGTTTGTTTTTCGGTCTTTGGTTCTAGATTTGGTTCTAGATTTGATGCAGCTGTCAACAAACGGAACGATTGACGTTTACTACTTGTTTTTTTTTAAGCTTCAGATACTGTTCGCTATTGCCATAAATACATGTTGTGAATGAGTTGAAGTTGTCCCGTTTTGCCGTCCAAGGCGCGTGAAGTTCGCTTTTTGTAAGGCCCCCGTAGTAACATTCCTTCTCCCTCGGGGCGTAGCTCCCTCCGGCATCATTGAAGAAGCACACAACGTGTGTTCAGAGGTTTGTGGCTGAGCCGACTTTGTGTTTGTGGTCCATCGACTTTGATGATGATCGCGATGATGATGATGGTGGTGACGTCTGTACGCCACGGGACAGAACTGCGTATGCGAGATTATTCTGCTGTTTCTTGATACCACTTTCGACCGACAGCACTCGGACATTGTCCAATGCAAGAGGGTGGGCTTCCACACTTCATTGCACAACTTCATGAGTAATCCAGAAGCACAACACGTCTTTTTTGTTTTCTTGTCGATGCAGGTGGACCCGCAGCTAGAATGGATGATGAGCGTGAGGATGCGGAAGCCGTGGCACCAGTGGGTTGAGCAGCTCTTTTGCGATGAGAGCGTGGAGGCACAGGTATGAACTGAGTGTGGTCGTGGCGATGCGCTGGAACTCTGTTGATTGTGGCCTTGGGGTCTGTTCAGCACTCGCGCAACAAGGTCCTTCTTGTTTTCCTGCTTCTTGGGGTAGCTGGTGTCATTGGAACACGAACGATATTGTTATGTTTCGAGTTGCAATAGATGTGATCTAATTCCATTGTGAACTTAGTGAACGTTAGTTGTTCGCGTGTGGAACGAGTTTGAAGTTTCACGAAAGTTACTATTCGCTTGACGTGAACCGGCGTAGTGCGCTTGGATCTCGCTCGGAGCCCGCGTGGGTTCGGAAGGGGTTGATGGGTGTTGGTTTTGCTTTGACGGAAAAAGAGTGGTCTCGATGCGGTCAGATGTTGTAGACGAAGCTGCCGTTGTCCGCTGGAATCGACACCCGAGTGCACCCAAGGACCGTCATCACTTGTCTGTCATGCTTTGCGGAAGTGGTGGTGGGTCTTGTGTCGATGCTCTCGCTCGGGAAACATTCCCGTCGCTCATCGCCCCCGATGCTTTTTCACGGTATAAAGTGTGCCGTGGCAGTTCTTGCCGTATCGCCTTTCTGGCGATTGCCTTGTCGGAGTGCCATCCGAATGTAGCCGACTGCCATTCGATGCACATGTGTCCCCTTATATCCATTCGCCGGGTTGAAAGAATGAGTCGAATGCTTCCTAGCCGTTCCTGACCTTCGGACTTCAACATGTCGACCCATGGTCGAGAGGAAGGTATCATGTGCGATTCCATTGTGACCGATGCATCCGTTGTGTATTCCAGTGCGAGGCGCTAAGGGGTTTGGTGGAACTGCCGTTGCCCTTCGAGCTGAGGAACTCGGAGCTGCCGGTGCAAGCCATCGCTGAGGCCGTCCGAGGAAGGGTATCCCACACACAGATGGAACACGCCTCCTGCGTCCGGAAGGAGGTGATTCACGCCCAATTACCGTCTTCTCTCCAACGTGCCCTTGTAGTCTAAAGCGACATGGCAAGGCAGGACTAGTTGCAGATCCGTGGGCACCGAGCCCTATTGTCGATAGTGGATAGGACCGGTTGCAATCGCAACTGGGGCACCCCTCCAACGTTAGGAAGAAGGGAGTCCGCCAAAGCGAGCGGTGTACCCTAAACCCTAGCGCTTTCATCTACAAATGTCCCGCTGGCATCAAGCGCCTGCGTATCGTACAAGTGCTGTGGGACATGCTGCTGTTTGGCGACTTTGATGCCCAAGGAAATTTACGCCAGCGTGTCGTGCCCCGACCGATGCTGAGTGCGATCGGACGATGGGCGTCTGCCGACAGACAACAGCGTTCTCGTGGACACACGCAAGGGCACCCCCTGTGGGTCGTCACGGCGACAGCCATTGGATTGGAGTTTAGCGTCATTTTCGTATGGAGCATGGTTTTTTGCCTCTTGAACGAAGTGGCAACTGTCACTCGTTGTTGCAGCTTTCGCCGCTCGAGCGGTGGCTGGCGGTTGCGTCTGTGTTGTCGTGTGATGGGTGTTGCCAATGCTTCTTGAACGTTGGGATCAGCATAGGCACTGATCGGTGTACAAGGTTGTCGCTGGGTGGTACTCACTTTGATTCCGCGGTTGAGCAGAACGGGTCTGCGATGTTTTTCGGCAACAGTCCCTGAAGCCCCGCTATGGTCTTGCGTACGAGGTATTTGTGGCTCTGGCATCAGGTTTCCAGGCGATCTCTACGCATTCCGGCAATGATGGATGGATACCCAATCCGTGTTTCGCACCTTTCTATTTTCACTGTTCCTTTTGTTGTCGTTGCTGCCGTTGTTGCTGTCGTCGACGCAGGCGGCTGTCGCCCTTGCTCTCTGGCAGAATCAACATGCACCGCCTCACGCCGGAGGCTTTGGGGAGTCGAAAGAGGTGAAAAAACATCATGGGGTCTTTGTACAAAAGGAGTATGCGTTTTGTCTTCCCCTCGGTTGGAGTGCTTGTCTCATGCAGCTCTAAGCTCACATAAATTCACTTTGATATTTTTTCTGAGGCAGTCGTTTGCGTTGCGGTTCGTCCACCTTGATCTGCGACTTTCCTAGTGAGTAATGCTGCTTTCGTCTGTTCCGGGCTTGCGAATGGGCTGCATCACCTCAACAGCACCTTATCCGCTGTATCGGGGTGTGGCAACGTGCGCCAAACCTACTCAACCTCGCCCTCTTGATGTATCCCACGGTGTGGCTTCGCTAAGCCGCTACGCCCTACGCAGAAGCCAGCCTTTTGGATGCCTGTGCCTCTGTCGGTGTTTTGTTGTGGTTGTTCGTATTTCGACCTCTTCTTCTTCCAATAAACCATTAATTCTGTGCTCAGGTTTCGGAGGCAGGTGTCGTCAGCAGTCAACATTAGCCTACCTCGTATATACACAGCTCGATCCCCAGCAAGGAAAAATAGGGGCTTCGATTCGCCGTTCCCATCCCGTAGCAGCACCACATGCTGTCGTCGCCCATCTGTCTCCTGTTCCGATTGTGCCGCTGCGTTGCCCTATTCCCACCGGGCGGATGTTTTCAGACGAGAGCACAGAACTGGAGGGGCTTGGAGCACCTCCTTAAGGCCTTTGCGGAGAGGTTCGAACAGAGGGACTCGAAAAGCCCTGCTTCATCGGGGATGCGGTTGGGGATAGGGCACGATGAAGCCGGGTCCGGCGGTGGCAACCGCAAGTCTGCCCTGCTGCTGCCGAATTGGTTCGAGGATTCGACAGAGTATCGCTTGAAGAAAGCACTGGTGAGGGAGGGGAGAACTAATCGCCGCTGCTGTTGCTGTTGTTGGTGGTGATGGGCTGCCGAGGGCTTGCATGTTGTTGTAGTTGTTGTATATTGGTTAAAGTGGGTCTAAAGTGCCTGCTACCCTCTCAAGGTCATTGAATGAGCTCAGCGCCGGTCACATTATTATAGCAGCTCCCTCAGCAATGCTTAGGGTAAGACGAAGCCCGTCGACTCTCGTCGACCATGCTACATTCTGCCTGCCCCTCCATGAACAACTCCCTTTTTCCCGTCGTGGTTCACGCTACTCGTGTCAACTGTTCGTGCTGTGAACCACTCGTTTCACCTACTGGGCCATCGGCAACACTCACTGAATTGAAGCATCCTCGACCCGCGGTGAAACGATTATATTAACAGATCTGGGCGGCCGCAAACATGCGCGCTCGAGATGGCTGTACGCCGTTGGAGGTCCTGGATCTGCTGGTGGTGCTGTTGCGGGAGAATGACAACTGCGAGAACTCTCGGAGCGACGACTACTATGTGGCCCAGGCAATGCCAGATATCGCTCAGACTATCCGGAATTATCGAACCTTCCTGAGCCTACCGCGATCTAGCTTCACAACGATGAGAGCACCCCCGATATGGGACGTGGTGTATGCCCTTATCCTCTGGCACGAGTACCGCTTCTCCGCTTCTTTACCGCGGGCATCTTATCTTGGCGACGATTTCACCTTTTCAGGCACTTCGTTCAGTCATAAAATCGAACAATATGATGAGGTGCCGTGTTACAGGTGGCAGCACTGTGAATCTTTTGGATAGTTTTGTTTGAATGTCGCTCCATCCAGCTTTGAACAGCGTGGACTTCGCCTTTCAGGTTGGTCGATTCATCGTCGTAGTTATTGTTCTTGCCGATGCCTCAAATTCCAATAGTCGGGTTTTATGAACTTGGGATATGCCAGGACGGTTGCGTTTGTTCTCTGATTGCTTGTGCTTTTGCGATTGTGATTTGTGATTTGGAAACCAGGAGAAGACACTCCAGTACATTTGTAGTGCACGCTTGATCTGGTTTATTTCTTTGCATACGGCGCGTGTTCGGCTATGTGGGAATTCGCAGGTGCTGACCTCGCTAGGACAGGTTTCCACGACCCAGGAGGCTGGATTGCCGGCGTCCTCCGTGGCTGAGGCTATCTCACAGGTTGGATTTCTAGCACAGCAGTATCTCACAGTGGAAACGTTCTTGTTTCTTGGTCTCTTTTTGTTTACCATTGCGCTGAAAAAATGTCGAGCGTGCTTTTTGATCGAATCCTCTGGTGACTGGGATTATGCCAATCATTACAATCTCTCCCAGGCTCGGCTCTGGCTGGACCTCGACATGCTGGGTGTATCTTCCTCGGGGCACAAGGCGACCGCCAAGCCCGCGACTCGCACCACCAAGAGCCACAACGGCGTTGTAGCGGCTTGTGCTCTGCAGTGCCTCTGCCAGCTGGAGATGCTAAGGGGTGGCAGGTACTGTCAGGAAGATCAGTAGACGAGACATGCCGCTTGCTGCCAGGTGTGAAGGTTTTTGTTTCTCCCCCAACCTTCGTGTTTGTCTCTGCGCGTTGAACGTGTTTGCAAGCGTTTGGCGACGCATCAGATCAAGTCAGCAACGATTGAAATATGTGGACAACCTTATCCGCGGACCATGACAGCTCATTTACACTGATTTACCACGATGAGCTCCCCGATGATCTACCAGTAATTGCCAACGTTAGCGCTAGCAGCGGCTCGTTACATCCAGTGGCATTGACCCTAGTGTGCGGCATGCATCGCGGTGGTATGAAGATTCACGCCGGGTTGCTCGACGCTTGAGTTCATGTCTTCCGCCACCCCGAGTGTCAATTGCCGGCAGACATTGGCTTCATCTATGCATGCGTGTTTTTGCTCTCCCGTCAAAACACCTCAGAGAGGCGTGCACGAGCGACAACAGTCCTGATGTGGCCTAGCTCTACTCTATCTGGGGCATAAAAATTCTATGTTGTAATACCAATCGCTTGGGTCGCATCGCTTGCGTTGAGGCGATGGATAGCAGCGTTTTTAACTTGACATGCTTTCATCAGAGGTGGGTGCCCTATTGTCGTTCTTTTCGGTTTATGTTCGGTTAGTGTCTTTGTGCCGTCGTGCTTGTTCTTTTGCAGGCCCGAGGTAGATTACGAGGAGTACACGGAAGGGCGACACCCTACGAATGTGCGTATCGCGGCTGCTCAGAGCATCATCCACTTGTACCTCGCCTACGACAGCGGTGAGCACAAATTCGTGGCTGGTGCCATTCGACATGCCATATAGGAGTACATGGCAAGGCTGGTTCGCAGTCATTGTAAGTGGAGAGTTGGTAGTTGCCCGTTGAAGCACACACCACAGCGCAGGCGACGACACGACGGTTGCCGTTGTTCGGGTGTTGGTGTATTGGTTCTTGGCATGTCCTGTTGTTTTTCGCTGGCGATCGCTGACTGTTGTGTTCATGAGGTGTGGAGCGACAATAGAGTTGGTATCCATGCTCACACCATTGATAGTACCTGCATGGAACACACACACGTCTCGATCGTACCATCTTTCTAATAGTCGTTGTTTGTTGATTGCAGGGTTAGCAGAGGACGCGGAGGACGATGGAGAAGGGCTCTCATCGGCGCTGCTCTGGGTGTTGGACTTTGTGGAATCGGAGGAGCCCGCCGGAGACGGCAGGCCAAGATACTGGGCTGTTCGATGCCTTCTCGACGCGCTGGTGAGACTACCGACAAGAACATAGAATTAGGAGGAGCTGACGTAGTGAGGTACAGTACCATGATATGTGGTGTGTTGACATCATGATTGTGGTGCCGTGCTATGATCGAAGGGCTTTCACAATGCGCTTTGTCCATGTCTCTCGGAGATTTTGAGTTTCGAATAATTCCTGACCTTCGTCGACGCATTAACGGTACTTGTTACGGAGCGACGAGTGTACGGTATCAGCATTTGACAGGGTGGCAAAGAGTCCTAATCTTGAGCGCCCAAAGGGAGAGGCTTGGTTCAAGAGTCATACTGGTGTCCCCCCCCATATGATTTTCTTGCAATTTTGGTGGCCCCGCAAAGTCCGCCGGTGGTACTTTTTGTTTTGAGGGTATCCCTCGTTCTATGTCGTCCACAGCAATTTATTCCAACCCTACCGCTTTGTCGCCTCTGTCCAAGCGCTCTGCTTGAGTTACCCAGAGTGTTACTCTGTTATTCGTTTTGTCACATTTGCGGCGAAAAGTGTTCAGCAATGCCTACCGATATCGGGGTTGTATGCTATGGCATAATGCGCCCCCGTCGCGTTTTTTTGTGGTGTCTAAATACGTGGTGTACTTTGAATTCCCCGCATCCTCTTTTAGGAGCGGCGCCCCCTCGTGGCGTCGCACCTCGCCCGCTTCCAGAGCGACGACTCGTTGCTGGGGGAATGCGACCCCTGGGCGGAGATGGAGTTCTTCACACCACGGGGGCCGGGGAGGGCGGCCTATCGCCCGGACGGGCCTCTTCCGAAGGAGTTTCCAAGGGTGAGTGACGTCGGGAGTGACGTCACGCCCAAGATGTCGGCGTCGTTTTTTCTGTAGCACCGCTTCGTGATATGGTAGGATTGATTTAAGCTCTCGACTAGTTTTCAAGTGGCTGGTACCAAGGTAGCAACGAACCGAGCCAAAGGGTCCCGTTTGTTGTTCTTTCTCGCCATCCTATTTTGCATGCCTGGGCCAACTTTTACTTTGGGGGGTTGCGGGAAAAACAAACGGCATTTGATTGGGTGCACGTGACGACAAATACTTCACGAAAACCACTCCAATCAGTTTCACGTACATTGCGTAACTTGACGTAACAATGGTTTCACATTCCTGATGCTGGGTGACTCGACTCGACTCGCCATATGGGTGCCCTGCGTTCCGTCCCAGCCTAAAGTATTTGACGTAGTGTTCTGTTGCGGACCTATTTCGCCAACAACCAAAATGAATATGTTCTGACAATAATGGATGACCTCCACACGGCCAGCTTCTACACTCCCCCCCCGGCTGTTGCTTGATATTTCTGGTGGAAGATAGGCTGTTTGCTTGTGTTTCTCATAGACATGAAGCAAATACGCTACTCTCTTGCCATGGGAGGCACTTCCGTGCCACAGAGAGAAGTTTCAGTGGATTTTGTAGCCCTTACTCACCCCCGGTCAGATGGCTCAACAATATATACGGTTTTCACCTGATCAGCCCATTTAATGGACAACGCTTGCGCGTCGCTGGAAGTCAGCGCCCGTCATTGACTCTACCCTGGCCGTGGAGGCTTGGTCGCCGTGTCGGTGTTTTGAAGCGCCAACATTGTCTGTTTTCGATAACATCATGTGCGGTTCCAGTTTGATGTGACGTGACTACGACTTGCAACACGTTTGTTGTTGCGAAGTGCAGCTTTTCAGTCCGCTCTCACCGGACACAGCTTTTGCTCGGTCGTCGTGGCTTTTCTCTCATCTCCTCTGCGTGATTATTGAGAGGTCTTTTCCCCTACCCATGGTCTCGCACTGCTGTTGAAATTATTTTTCCAAAGGCGGCGGAAGCGGCCGAGCGGCTTTGGGCTCTGATGAATGAAGGGACAGCGTACGACCAGGCCCTCAGGCACCTCTGTTTCCAGGTATGTGACGGCACGGGACGATACCACAGGTTTTCGTTGTGCCATACATGCCTATTGTGGCATTTGGTGTGGCAAGATGTCGGTGTGGTACAGAATGGTGCGGGATGAGAGTACGTGATATCGCATCGGTTTGAAATGTGTTTTCGGAAAGCTTGGTACGCGGCAAACGAAACGACTGTAATGCTGCCATTGACGTCAACGTGACTTTGGCCGTTTGGCACAGCCGCCCCCCCCCGGAGTGTTTTGGACGGGGGCGGTCTCAGAAGCGTGTCGTTCGTGGTGCTGCTGTGGTTTCCTCGAACATGGAAACTGCCATAACGCCCGGAGTGAACACCCCCCGAGAACGAACGCCCCCCGGGGGTCTCGTTCACATGCTGGTCTTGAGAAAACGTCCCGGGTACGTAGCGAACGGCCTGGGGTCGTTCGCGTTTGGGCTGTTGCAAGGAAACGCTCCCCGCGGACGAGCAGAAACCCAGTACAAGCGTAGGTGAGCTGCTCGAGGAGCGGAAGAACGCATGAGGCTCGATCGCTGCGCGAAATTGAGGGATGCGCAACCTGTCCCACTTGCTGCGCTGCTCGCCTGCAGTTTTGGCGTGTTTTAGGGTTGTCGGTGTTTCTGGTAGCTGGCGATATGGGTGTTCTGTGTGCTGGTCAAGAGGTGTGTGTGGTGTGCCGCCCGGAGCAGGTTTGTTGTTTGTCGCCCCCTTGGGCACCGTGTCAAGTTTGTACATTGACCCCGGTACGGAGCGTACCTCGGGGCGCCGTGCGACGAACCTGTTTTAATGGTCGCCCCCGGGGGTGGGCACTACAGGCTTTACCGCAACATCACGCGTTGAGTGGTGCTTAGGCGAGGCCTCGTCTTGACGAGTTCCAGATCTGGAGCGTAGACAAACACATGGCTGCATTCGTAGATTATTCTTCCTCTTGAATTGCAACCATTTTCCCCTGAACACTATCGAACATCGTTGCACGCGTCCCCCCCCCCCAAACTTGACACGACCGTGTATAGAATATTGTCTGTGCCCCGCGAGCTACATCGATTCTGGCATTCCTCGCGTCCAACCCTATTGCGAAGAGCATATGTTTTCAAAAATTGGGAACGTGGCGCCGCTTCAGTCCACGAAGCGCGGCACTGGTCACTGTCCTGCGTTGTTGAGTGAGTGGTGGTAGATGCTGCTCATGCCCGACGTCGTTGGCCCTCCGCTTGTCCGGCATGTGCGCGTGTTGGGAAGCATGGTGTGGAACGATGTCACAGGTCATCCCACGGGCCCGTGCCCGCGTCGTTTTTCTTGCGTTGGCCCCTCAACAGCTCACACAGCCGACGTGCTTTCTCTCAGAGAGCCCAGCGAACCCCAACAAACCAAAACGATTTTTTTTTCATGTTTACAAGGGCAGCGGACGCGAGGGACGGTAGGCCCCCCGCGTCCTCCGCTTGAGATGTGCACACAAAACGGTAAGCGTGAGCTAGCAGTTACAGGCTTCACACGCAGTACCAAGTGGGACGGACGGTGGTTGAGGTTGTGTACATTCAGCAGAAAAATACTATGGTGCAGCTTCGAACGTGGCAGAAAGTCCTGACGTCCTGTCGTTGTATATTGCTCTTTGAAATTTCTGCAAAGCTACACAACGGGTAGACGTAAGTAGTTGCTTGTTTAGCTACTGTAGACGTGTTGCGCGTTCCGAGTTGTGCCATGACTTCACGTTCCCTAACAAACACCGATAGAAAGTATCGTCCAATCACAGCAGCGGTTATTAAGAGTCTTGCCCGAAGAAGTCAGAGGTGCAGATGCAGGTGCAAACATGTGGTTTGGAGCGGTTTCGACGGCTTGGGCAGCCCATCCGGCTCTCTGCACCCGGAGACCTTGGCGGCGGCGTCTTGGGGAGAGATGACGCCGCGCGGGCGCCGCAGAGAGCGAGCCAGCCGCGCTCGTGGCATTGTCGTGTCGGTTTGAGAGTAGGCCTAATTCCGCCACTTCGCTGTGAGCGGCCGCTGCGAGGCCGCGGGGTGCTCGTTGAGCATGAGCTAACACTACCTAGCTCTTTGCGTATTTGTTTGAAGTATGTTTTATGTCGCACTTGCATGCGTTTGAGTTGAACCTTGCCCAAGTGGCACGATGTTCGACTGCCTTACCCCAATCGTACAATATGTACTTTGTCGCATGTGATCATCTCTTCGTGTCCATATGTTATTGGCGAAACGTTTGGTGTTCTTTCGCAGCTATGGGCAACGTGTGGATTGTGGTTCCGTGGACTATTCTCGACAGATAACACCCCGCGTTGCCCTTGTTTGGCTTGTGCTTTACGTTTGCCCTCGCGTGTTTGTTATAGCTCTGGCGAAATATCTGGGGCCTTGAAACACCTCCCTGCCTGGTAAACAACATTCCGGAGAAGTTAGAAGGCTGGAGGGAGAAGATGATTGTTGGAGAGTCTAAGAACCTCGCCAAAGATCACCGTGCGCGGAGTCGACTGGCTATGGACGGCATGGTTGATAAGGTGAGATTTTTTTTCCGGCCGTCTTGCACTGGCGTGTCTTTGTGGGGTGGGGGAATCCTGTAGCCAATACCTTCTGTCGTGCGTTGTTCGATGACGACAACACAATGTACACAATGTATTGCCAACTTTTTTTCTCATTGAGGTTGTCACCGCGTGGTTCTCCGTTTCATATGCAGACATTCGTTCGCGTCGTGACAGGCAAGGTCTGTTTGGACAATGCAATACGCCACGCTGTCAGGTGCACCAAAGGCTTTCGCCAGAGACAATCGTTAAGCAGAATTCCGTTTTTTTTCGGGCACGTCTGTTTCATTATGTCGAGCAAAGATTCTTGTTCCCGCTCCCCACCACTTTGCTTGTTTGGGAAAATATGTATTCCAAGCGCGTGTTCGGTAGGGTGCGGGTACGCTCGGTAAGGTATTGAAATCTTACCGAAGCGTACCGAGAGTTTAGGCAAGGTATGGACATGTTACCGAAGCGTATCGAGATTTTGGGTAAGGTATTGAAATACCATTACCGAAGTCGGTACCGGCACCCTCGGAATTTGAAGGATATACCGAGAATTTCGGTAAGGTATTGCAGTATTACCGAAGCTACCGAGATTTTTGGTATACTACTAAAATATGACCGAAGCATACCGAGACGCTCGGTAGGGTACATACCGCCTGCATTTTCCGTTACCTCGATCGTACCTTGCCGAACGCACGCTTGGAACCATCGACGGCTGTGATGGTGTCGAGTGGCACGTCGCATACCTGCCCGAGCGAGCTGTAGACGATCGCTGGTGTAATCGTAGACACGCTGTTTCCCTGTGAGATCTCCACAACCTCTGGCGTCGGGACTTGCGATGAGGAACTGCCGCCAGAACCTGGGTCGGCACCGCTGGCAACCCCCTCGTGCTGAGAGGTTGCCTCGCTGCTCATGCGGGCTAGGTACATCTTTCACGTGTACCCAGACAGGCACGGTCTTGTGATGTTCGGTATGCAGCAGTTGTTAGTTCGGAATTCGGTACAATAGGGTACAGCAGTTTGCAATCAATTCCTGTGGTAAGTGAAGAGAGTGACGTCACAATGTGTCGGTAGGGGTTAGATGGAGGTCTCCACAGGTACCGGCACCTCGGTATTTGTCAAGGGTGTACCGGCACCCTCGCTACCATATTTGTCAAGGGTATACCGAGAATTTCGGGAAGGTATTGAAATATTACCTGGGCATACCGAGATTTTCGGTAAGGTATTAAAATATTTCCAAGCATACCCCGAACTCTCGGTAGGGTACATACCGCCGGTATTTACCGTCGGTATGCCTTGGTCAAGCAGCACCGAACACACCCTTGAAATTTTGTGGTGAACACTTGTCTCCCTTGTTCACTATTTGGGGACCGTCTACTCCGATGGAAACTACCCGAATATGACCAGCTGATTATAACCTGCTGTCGACTTTGGATGAATCGCGAACAATCGTCAAGGTGATCTGAGTCTTTCCCTCAAATAAAATACTGACATGATGGAGATTACAGGATCAAGCGGAGCACCGGTGGTGGTGAACGGATAGTACCTCCGTAGCTTCAAATAAGCCAACGAAGGCAAAGTCTACCCGAACTCCCGAACTCCGGCGATGCCAGCATTATAACGTGAAGGATCCCGTCGTTGGGGGACTGTTGTACAGGTAAAAGGGTGGGTGATGGGCCGGAACAAACGAAGGGAGTGGATTAACCGCGATTGGTGCGAATGGTACTACAGGGATCGAGATCGTCAGGTATGAACCCTAACGGTAGCAGAAATCGACTTGAGGGACGTTGTGTGTTTGTTTCTGTTGCGTAGGTTGCTCGTTTTGGCTCGATCGAATATCTACACCCTAATGAATTAATTCGAATATTGTAGCTTGTCTTGTGTTGCGAATTCTTGACACATTGCTGGGCCCAGAAGGTTGTCACTCACATGGATACCCAGAGCGTTCAAATTTCGTCCAGTTCGGTGCGATGAAGACCTAAATGCCGCGGGTCGGAGGCAGAGGCATTCGGCATTGCCCCTGGAAGTTATTGACTGACGGTATTTCCCTTGGACATGGCAAGACATACACGCCTGACGTCCCTTGCGCGACCTTGGCATTGAGGCTGCAAAGTGCGAGCGAAACAGCAAACATGTCAATTTTTGCTTTTTTCTCGTCATCCTCGCAGAAATATATGTTGTTGCTGCAGTTCATGCCCAGGGCACCCTGTAGCGCGGGCCTAACCGGCCTGAAACGCCTTTGTAAGCTTCGTTCGAAGGCCTCCATACCTTCCTGAGCTACATACTGCTCAGCTACGAAGTACTGCCGGGTTGCGCATGTACGTGTGCGGGGGGTTTCTTTTGTGTACATGCGCGGGGGGCTTCTTTTAATTCGGCCACGGTACGTGCTCATGCGGCACAGGCAAGGCTAGCCCTCAAGGTCAAGCGGAAAGGAGACGAAGAAGAAGAAGATATCACCGCCAACCCTTGGGACGGCCGTTATGGACCGGAACCTCCGGAAGAGATGGTGGGGCCGCAGGGACTGGGGGTGGGGGTGCACTCGGTTCAAGGAGTAGTTCAGTGGGAGGATGGCGGGAGCGAAGCAGCGGCGGGAGGCGGTGTAGGCCTCAAAAAGTTTCGGACGGTTGGTGGGGGCGGTGGGAGTTAGATGTTTTTCTCGGTGGTATGTATGTGTTGGTGCAGGTACTCTGTCACTGGCAATGACCCTTACCCTGAGGCATTGGTGCTGTTGTTGGAATGCAACTCAATCGTTCAAGGTATTGTGATTGCTTCACAAGCAATAGTAATGGGTGGTCTGACGCAGTCCGACAGGCCTGGCTGCTTGCGCACGCTCGTTCGGCTTGCGTTGACATGTAGTGGCATCTGTAAAACCCCCTGCCTAACGGTTGATGTTATTGGACCGTGTTGGCCTCGATACTGCTCCACGTCAATCTAGGAAAGGGGCCGAGAGCCCGCCTACCGCCACGCCACTGCTAGTTTTCGTGTCACTCTTTGAAGTTCTTGTTTTGGATGGAGTGGACCGCACCCAAGATGCCGGCTCGATGGCTGCGGACTACGTACGCCTCGTGTGTGACTCGGTCGGCATGCAACGGTCTTCATTCTCGCAAATTCGAACGAAAGCAGCAGTGGTTCTTATGTTCCGAAGCCCGGTCAACGGGTTTAAGTTTGTTTGTGTTGTCTACAATACTGTTGGCGAAAGCTTTGTCAGTCTCGCATGAACGTATGGATATAACACTTCCAAGAAAAGTGACCCTCAGTTTGCCCCAATTGCAAATTGGGGTTTCAGTCGGCTCTATCCCGAAAAATGCTGGAAGTCCGAAGAATTCAGTAAAGAAATCTTGTCCGAAATTTCCATACTTGAATCAAGTCAAAAATGTGATCGGAATCCATATTTTGACTATATAAGTCAAATACGTAACGGGACATGTGATCGGAATCCACCCTTCCTCATATCAAATCAAATATGCGATGGGAATCTACACTTTGACCAAATCAAGTAGTGATCCAAATCCATTGTTGGTTGAGTCAGTAGGAGTTGTTGGGGCTTTTATGTGTTGTAAAACATCACTGAATAAATCCTGGTGTAAGTTGGAAGCGACGCGGGGAGAAAAAACGTGCACCCAAGGAGATTGAGCGGTGCTTAGCCCTTTGACGAGAAAAGAAAGTTCTCGGAAACTTCCCGTATGCAACAGCAGTTTATAGCCCGAGGATCGACTGGTGGGTGGGTGGGGAGGACGGCGGAAAAAATATGTGGGGAGGACGGCGGAAAAAATATACCCCGATGGTTGAAGCGTGACGTTCCGAAGCAAAGCATTACTGGTTCGACCCGCTTCTTGCTGTACTTTTTTTTGCACCCCTCCAAAGCTAGCATATAGCCATGAAGCTAACCCTATCCCTAACCCTAACCCCAACCCAACTGACCCGACCCAAACCTATAGCATTGGGAAAGTGCTGGATCAGTGTACCACAAGCAAGCCTAGGCCGCGGCAAGCCGCGGCGCTACCTAGGTTGCGTCAGCGCTAGGTTGCTGCACGGTCGAAAAGGTAGGTTGATGTACAGAGTTGACGTTCTAGGTTGCTGGTGTACCGTAAGCTGCTGTGCACAGTTAGTGCAGTTAGTGCTAGGTTGCTGCACGGTGAAAGCCTAGGGTGTCACTACTGGAGGTGTGCAACAGAACCAGAACAATAACGAGAGTATTCCGGGAACCTTTTGGAACCTTAGGTTCTCGACAAATGGGCAAGCACTACTGCACAGACAGGCCATGTGAGAACCAACCACAACAACAACAACAACTCTCTGTCTTTGATTTTTTATTCTTTGGCACCTCCTACCAGTAGATCCAACCATTGGTTCATTTTATCGCACGCTCCAGCGCCGGACCGTTTTCTGTACTTTCTCGGAATGACTACACGACCATCACCTGCACCCCAAGAGAAATAATACACCGTTGCTGCAAGCAGAGTTGGGGTGCAGAGCGAGAAAGCCGCATGTTATGCCTCTCTATGCAACCCCTTTTCTTGCGACTCCCACGTCATGCTAGTAGACTCGCGAGGGTTAGGGTTAGGGTTAGGGTTAGGGTTAGGGCCCCCATTTTGTCACGTGTCACAGAAAACAGGGTTGGAGATTGAAAACAGGGTTGGGCATAGGGTTAGGGCCCCGATTTTGTCACTAAGTCACAGAAAACAGGGTTGGAGACTCAAAACAGGATCTCAGATTGGAACGCAGTTTTCACGGTGTATGTCTTGGCTTAGGGCCCCCATTTTGTCACGTGTCACAGAAGACAGGGTTAGGGTTAGGGCCCCCATTTTATCACGTGTCACAGAAAACAGGGTTGTAGATTGAAAACAGGATCTCAGATTGACACACTGTTTCCACGGTATGTCTTGGCTTAGGGCCCCCATTTTCTCACGTGTCACAGAAAACAGAGTTGAACTTTGAAAACAGGATCTCAGATGAAAACACTGTGTTCACGGTGGGTGAGCGGCCCCCTTTTTGTCACGTGTCACAGAAAACAGGGTTGGAGACTCAAAAAAGGATCTCAGATTGAAACACTATTTTCACGGTGTATGTCTTGGGTTAGGGCCCCTATTTTGTCACGTGCCACAGGAAACAGGGTTGGAGATTGAAAACAGGATCTCACATTGAAACACTGTTTCCACGGTGTATGCCTTGGCTTAGGATCCCCATTTTGTCACGGTGTCACAGGAAACAGGAATGTAGATTCAAAACAGGATCTCACATTGAAACCCTGTTTTACCGGTGTATGTCTTGGCTTAGGGCCCCCTTTTGGCACGTGTCACAGAAAACAGGGGTGGAGGTTCAAAACAGGATCTCAGATTGAAACCCTGTTTCCACGGTGTAAGTCTTGGTTTAGGGCCCGCATTCTGTCACGTGTCTTAGGGTTAGGGCCCCCTTTTTGTCACGTGTCACAGGAAACAGGGTTGGAGATTGAAAACAGGATCTCACATTGAAACACTGTTTCCACGGTGTATGCCTTGGCTTAGGATCCCCATTTTGTCACGTGTCACAGGAAACAGAAATGTAGATTCAAAACAGGATCTCACATTGAAACCCTGTTTTACCGGTGTATGTCTTGGCTTAGGGCCCCCTTTTGGCACGTGTCACAGAAAACAGGGGTGGAGGTTCAAAACAGGATCTCAGATTGAAACCCTGTTTCCACGGTGTAAGTCTTGGTTTAGGGCCCGCATTCTGTCACGTGTCTTAGGGTTAGGGCCCCCATTTTGTCACGTGTCACAGAAAACAGGGTTGGATATTCCAAACAGGATCTCAGATTGAAACACT